GCCCCAATCCATCCATCACATTTGGCCGCCAGATCAACTAGATGGTGCCATGCTAGTGACAGAAGGTGAGCCAGATTCTATGACCGGGCTGAGAGAGCGCATCCAAGAGCTGGAGGCCAAGATGAACGTCATGAGGGAAGAACTGGAGCATAAAGACCTGGAGGGAAATGCCTCAACTCTGAGGGAAAAATACCAAAAAGACTTTGAGAATCTGAAGGTTTTAAAAGCATTATTTAATTTACAAAATAGTTACTGGGGAGAATGTTACCCTTTTAAACAATGCAATGTTCCTGTTTGCTCAGGGAAGAATTTTCCTGATATATTTTGGCTTTTAGGTTGGAGTTAAGCGACGTCTTGATTCTAAGTTAAATGCCTTGAAACAATGGATACGTTTTAAATTGTATTAACTACATGTGTTCTTCATTTGCCATGATGCAATCTTATTGCATTGCTCAGGGCTTCTGGTAATGGTCTTTCAGTTTGACTTTAGCAAAAGGATAAGAGAAAAATAGCTTCTCTTTGGAAAGATTCCTCAGAGAAAAGCTTTTGGTCATTTTTCTCAGGGTGGGTGGGGGAGCTGCTATTCCCAGAGCAGAAAGGCAAATGGTGAAAATACATTTCCATGGCTTTTTTCCTAATGTTTTATCAGACATGAACATTGCATAATGTTTTTTCCTTCTGCTTGAGATGCCCCTTTCATGACTTCCCTATGAAAGCAGTTTTGCATTTTAGAGTTTGCTTTTCCTCTCTTTTCCTTTTCCCAAACTCCCTCCTTGATAAAAGAACTGGCACCACTGACCTCAAGCTAGTCCCTTATTTTTGAGATCTTTTTAGAATGAAAACTGTCAAAGGTTATGAAATACATATCACCTTTGCTAAAGGGCAATTCAGAGATCTGTTTTGCCCTTTCATGTTTGATAGTTCTAAAATAATTTTATGGGATTTTCCTCTGAAATAAGAAATTTTGCAAGACAAACAGTGCACAGTTCATAGTACCCTGTGTAATTCCACTCTTGGTTGGATTGGACCTTTTAGTTTATAGGTTTCCTTCATGAGAACATGTAGGGGTTTTTTTGCCATGCATGGGTTTACGTATTTCCTTTTTTCTATCAACTTTGAAAAATCACCTTTTCTACTAATTGTCCTCATGACCACAATTTAAATAAATGCACTGTCCCATGAATGCAAAGATAATGGTACATAGTTAGGTCCTTTGACTTGTGCCTATAGTGGTGATGGGTTGTACTAAACCATTCACGCTCTTTCTCCCACTTCCTCTGACTTCTAGGGAACAGAATTTGCAAGTGGCTGCTCAGGGTTTGAGTTCAACCTGTTGCCGTAGAACAATTCTTTCTTTCTGTTTTTAAAGTTCACTGGCCTCAACTGGGTACTAACTCAGATAATGTGTATAATGGCCTGCTCTTAAGTCATCAGAACATTGGTTTTAAATATTTATCTGACTTTTACTTCCCTTTCTTTAGAGGCCACATATCAATTCCGGTTTCCTAGGAATTTGATCCCCAAATGAGCCTCATCCAAACTCCCCAGAAGGTGTTGCTCTCTGTATTTACAGTGTCAAAATTTTGAAAAGACCAATGCCCTTCTTTTATGGTACAGTTGCCCCTATGGCATCCTTAGTAGAATTCTAATATCCAGGAATTTTCTTTGCTGCTGGCAGACTAACAGTCTCTCCCACTAGACTCTGCAGCCGGGATCCAGATTGCATACTCCCACCCTGAGAGAGCAGATAGAAATCATCAGCTTTGTATTCTAACTCTTTGTTCACAACGAAGACTGACTTGAAGAGCAACCCTAGTACATGCAGAGCACAAGTGAGAGTAGTGAGAGTGAGAAATTAGGAAGATTGTATTTTATTGAGAAAACAATAATGGATAGCAGTAGAGGAAGTATTTACCAACTCTTCCTCAGATTGCACTTGCAACAGCTATGTGGTATCTATTGTAAGTGAAGAAATAAATCATTGAAGTCTTTTAAAAGCACTCACTTACCTTAAAGCTTTTTGTGTGTATAAACTTTTGCAGAGAGCAGGAAAAAAGTGTCCCTTTTTCATATCCTCTATGGAGTTAGTTACCCTTTCATGGGACCTAAGTGAGTCTTTATAATTAAATTTCTAGGTTTTATAATCAGCATTTACATTGAGCTCAATACTTCTTGCCTTCCTTTAAAGGTTAATTGCCTCCTATCTGTGGGATAGATAGATATACACATTCATATAAATTCATAAATAAATAAATTCATAAAAATATGGCTTCTTTAGCCTGCAGTTTAATCAATTATGCTCAGATGAAGCCTTATGCTGGGCAGTATCACACTAGTACTTAGCAAGAGATCAGAAAGGAAAAACTGTTTCTGGATGAAAAAATAATAGCCAAAGACTCAGACCTAGGCACTATTCACATGATAATGGTGACATAAAATGGGCAGGCATCTTCATAATTGAAATGTCTTTATTTAGAGAATCTCTTTGAGGGCTTAGCGTTGCTAGATTTATTTCTACCTTAGTTATGGTGTACTTCGTCATCAAATTTCTGTGTCTGGTTTGTCCACGTCATTTTTAGAGAGCTCTTTGATATATGTAGATGTGAACTAGGCTGAACGAGGTGACCTGTGAGGTTCCTTCCAACTGTGATTCAGCTTCTAGGCCAAATTCAATTAAACAAAACTCATTAAGTGCCAGCTGTGTATGGAGAACTTTGTTAGTTCCTGAAAAGAGATATAAAATTTAAGTAAGGCATAGTTCCTACCCTCATTGAGCTTAATAGTTTAGGACAGAAATAGGAAATATGCGAATACTTGTTTACTACCTCAAGGATGTGCGATTTGATATCTGGTCCTTTTCTAACCAATGCAGTGCCTTGCGCACAGTAGGTACTTAATAAATATTTGTTGAACTGGATCGTGTGCCTTAGCAAATAGGCTGAAAAAAATCCATCATTTGGTGGTCTCTAGGGAGTAAACTTCTTTAATCCTTAATTAGTCTGGCCCTTATACGTTAAGCACGCTATCCATTACTTGGTAATCCTGTAAAAACAAATTACGTGCTTGAGAGCCTAGCTAAGTCTGTTGTTGCATAGAATAGCTGTGTTGAGCGGTGGCAAGTATACCTGCAAAGTATGTACTTTAGTGTCTATTTCCTGTGTGAGGGTTCAGGAAGATCCTCTTCTGAGGCCCTTATGATTATGTCTCTCTCCTCTAACCCTTCCCGGTTACAGTTATGGAAATCTTCTGCTAATGTGATTAGGTCATCTTCTGAAAAGGGAAAAATGCACCAAGAAGCAGCAAAATCTCAAGTGGGATTCACAAAAAGTAGAAAGTAAAGCTTTTGTCGTGCCCAATAAGAAATGTGCAGCAAATGACCTGACACAAGAGAGGAAATGCTGAACAGAATTCTAGAGTTTATTTAAAGAGTTTACATTCTAAGTTAAACAGTCTGACTCCATCCCTAGGAAGGATTGCTGCACCGGAATCAAGTTTAGCTGTCACTTTAGAGACCAAAATAAAAATATCCAAAGATATTATATAGTTTGATCTCTGGATAGATGTGCTCAGATCCACAATCCAACGAGCAGCAGTGTGCAATTTAAACTACTGCTTCAATTGTTGCTTGTCATTTCTTCCATTCTTTTAAAAATAATGGCCTGTCCTCACAAAAAACCTGGCATTTGAGAGATCCTTCAGGGTCCAGGAGGGGGAATGTGTCAGTGCAGTGAAACACAGAGTTGGTTTTTTCACCAATGTCACCTTCAGAATTGATCTAATACCATACATCTGTTTTTGGCACCCTACTTAGGTGGGGCAGGCTAAAATTTCCATCCTGAAATTGTGGGACTGTTCTATGATTTCCTGGTGAAGACTTGTGTCCCTCACAGTTTGAAAATACTGAGCCACGCCCAAATGAATTTTCAGCTATTTAAAAAGCCATCACGTTAAGTCACGTGACACAGCCTGGTGCCACTTTGCCTTCCTGAGCTTGAAAAGGCACTTAGACTTTATTTATATTGAGTGTAGATATGGAGTGCCAGCAATAACTTCTGTAAGCAATTAAGTTCCATTACTAATAATCTCTTAAAAGTACTTGAAAGTTTGAAAATTAGAATCAAACTTGGCATTGGGGCATAAAACATAGAATTCGAGCTGGAAGAGATTGGAGAAATCATCTGGTCCAACTTCTTTATTTTACGTAAGAGGAAACACTCAGGAAAAGTTGAACCCAAGGTCAGTGCAGCTAGTTTAATGCAAAGTTGAGAATAGAACCCAGGATGCCTGACTCTAGTCCACTGCATTTTCCATTAAATAATGACAACAGTAGAGTCCAGATGGGGTTTGTTTTGTTTTGTTTTGTAGTATTAAACACATTTTACAAATTATGCTTTCCATTCCTTACAACATAGTCCCTTGAGATTTCACTTTAAAACCCAAACTTTAAGTATCAGCTTTCTTAATTTATCTGCCAACTCCTTTACCCCTTCTCTTCAGCCATCATGAAGTAAAGGTTGGCTATCAGCCTTCAAAAGTTTGTCCATTTGAGTTTTATTGCACTATAGACCCAACTCTTAACAACAGTATGACCTGTTTTTATGTATTTAAGCACATGAGCTTTGCACTTGATAGTGATGAAGTTCAAAACAGTTGCATGGAAGTAAGATTGGCTTTTTTTTTCCCACTGAAAAAATCTTTTGCTAAAATTTTGGACAGGTGAAAAGTCCCTCTTAGCACCAGTGACAATGTAAAGAGCCTTTACAGCTATCTTTCGCCCTGTCTAGCTCTTCCGCCTTATTCCTTCCCCAGCCAGTTTATGCATGTGCTCTCAATCACTGCATCTTCAGTAGAATTCTGGCACTGAACATGATTTTGGTGAATGATGTGAGTCTGCTTCAAGAGGCCTGGCTTGAAGAGTATTGCTTGCTTTATAGATTGGCATCCTGACTTAGATCTGAAGAAAAAGAATAGAAGCACCAAGTCCCTTTTGCATTTTGTAGGCAACATGTGAACGAGGGTTTGCTGCTATGGAAGAGACGCATCAGAAGAAGATAGAAGATCTACAAAGGCAGCACCAGCGGGAACTGGAGAAACTGCGGGAAGAGAAAGATCGCCTGTTAGCAGAGGAAACAGCTGCGACTATATCAGGTAGTCAAGCTTGCATGCAAGACTTGGAGCTTCCTCTTAGCTTGACTAGATCTCTTTAAGACTGGATAAGGTGTCACTTATTGAGTTATATTGCTGTATTAGAGCCTGGGATGATTTTAAGTTAGTTCCTAGAGAAGTGATTAAATTTTTCCCTGGAAGGGGCAGCTAGGTGGCACAGTGCATAGAGCTCCAGCCTTGGAGTCAGGAGGACCTAAGTTCAAATGTGACCTTAGACATTTGATGCTTAACTAGCTGTGTGACCCTGGGCAAGTCACTTAACCCCAATTGCCTCACCAAAAAGCAAAAAAAAAAAATTTTTTTTCCCTGGAAAAAGTGCTGGTGTTGGAGACCTTTGAGATTTTTCCAGAGTGCTCAAGATCGATGTGGCTGGGAGGTAGCAGAGAAATGGTACAACACTCTTGAGGCCAGTGTAATGTCCTAGCAGGAGGTTTTCCTCAGCCAGGCTGCTCTCCAACAGGTGGCTTTTATCCTTCAGCCTCCAGTGACCCTCACTCAGCCTCATTGCTGGCTCTGCATCTGCTCTTGGCTCCATACCCTTTTGGCTATTACCCGTTTGGTTTAGGCCATTTGGTGTGCCTTTAAATTTGACAATAATTGAACAGACATGAGAATGTGAAACCCTAAAGAAAAGACTTCTACAAACTGATCGTAGTGAAGTGTGACCCCCAAAAAAGGATTCTCTACAGTGGCCAAGATATAAAGATGGGTAAAGCTCTTGCTTCAAAGATATCCCTCTGCCTTTTTTTTTTTTAGTTGAGCAATGCTTTGTCCTAGGCAAGCGCCACCAAATTTATTTTGTTTTACTCTTCCTTTGAAGCATAGTATTACTCATGCCTGAAATTAATTACTATTTCCAAAGAGACTTACTGCTTTTATCCTAAGGATGAAAATACACCAACCCTAAAATGCAGTTATAAAAAATTCCGTTGTTTAGAAACCAGTGTTTGAATCCAACAATTATCTTATTAGTCCCATTCTCTTCCAACTTTAAAAAAAAAGGAAAGAAAGAAAACATCATCTCAGTTGTGAAGAGGGAGACAAACCTTTTCTCCGTTGCTCCCTCCTCTAAGAAGCAGGGATGTGATAGAGTCTCTCATTTCTTTGAAAACCTGAGGAGCTCTGCCTTCTGCCTCTTTAAGCCAGGCTCACCAATGATTTACTATTTGAAAATCTAGGCTGCTTGCCAGAAAATTGTCTTTAAAAATTCCTTACAACGTGTTATTGCTATTTGCCACATGAACTAACTAGGAGGAAATAAGTTCCTCAGGAAGGTTGCTTGTTTAATGTGAAAAAAATAAAACAAAAAAAACCCACCTTACTCCAGACCACCTTGAAATACAGAATGCCCACACCCCACAACCCCTTGCAATTACTTAGCTTCTTTTCGATCTTTACAGCAATTGAGGCAATGAAGAATGCTCATCGGGAAGAAATGGAGCGGGAGTTGGAGAAGACACATCGCTCTCAGATCAGCAGTGTCAATTCAGATATTGAGGCCCTTAGGAGACAGTACCTGTATGTTTGGTTTTATTGATTTGGTTTTTTTTTTTGGGGGGTGGTTGTTGTTGTTGTTGTTGTTTAGGAATGTGGGTATACACGCAGAGGAGAGGGAGGGAGGGAGGGAGAGACACAAACTTTCTGCTGTTAGCAAGAAAGGGCCTCCTCAGTGGCAAGTGTTTGTGCACAACCATGGTGAATGGCTACTTAGTTAGCCAGCAACAACACACTACTAGAGCCCTGATGTACATCCAGTAATTCCCTTTTCTCAAAGGGAAGAACCTTCAAATTAGAGGCTTGTGCATCAAATAAGAATATTCAGCTTTAATTCCAATTTTACCCACTTATGAGATGGGTTCCACCTGGAATGCTCTGAGAAGACTACTAGATAAAGGATTCTTTCTTTTCTGCCTTTTCTTCTTTTATTTTGGGGACATTGGCAAAGATATAATGCTAGATGTTAGCCAATCCCATATATACAGGCTGTTTTTATTTCTACATGGAACTGCCCAAATTGAATATGTAAAAATATTTTTTTCTTATATGGAAATTAACCTAAGGCTGGGGACTTAATGAAACCTCTCCATCAGATAATAATTACTGGCATGTTTTCTGTATCAAAGTCTTTCACTTTCTGAACACATATGTTCAATAGTTTGCTTAGGAGTAGTTGGGTGGATTTTGCAACATCATGGTGGCTGGTGGCAGGTTAATTTATTTCATTGACTTTCACCCAAATTGGGACTTGACCACAGCTGCTTTTAACTCCAGCCCCACCTGGGTTTCCTTTTATCTTAAGCCACTTGCAGTTCTACAGAAACCGAGGAGAATCCAGTAAAGCACAAGGCTGTGGAGGCTAAAGGGAAGTGGGGAGAAGTAACAGCTGTCTCTAATGACTCCTTTTCTTCTGGGCCTGGGCCTTCTTTACCATAGTGGAATCACAGGGGTCGGGTGCTTCTGGCTGTTTGTCTAACATTTGTTGGACATTTATCATATTAAGCGAGATGTGTAAAGATTAACAGCTTTTTGCCTTCAAGAGACAGAGAATCAGAGACCTCAAATATGCATTGATTGTGTTTAAAGAGGGAAGCACCCTTAATTTTAAAATATTTAAGAGACCCTATGAAGAAAGTTTTACAGAGATTACATAAAATGATAGGGTCTTAGGTAGCATGGCATGGCGCTGGGCTTCTTCAGAAGCAGGTGACCTCAGGTTGAGCCCTGCCTCAAACACTTATTAGCTATGTGAGTATGTGATGAACCTTTCTAAATCTGTCTGTGTCCTCATTTGTAAAATGAGGGCAGTAATACCTGTAGAATACAAGAACCATAGGGTTCTTGTGAGGGTCAGATGAGATCATGTTCACAAAGCACTTTGTAAACCTCAAAGCCCCGTAGAAATGTCAGCTTTGCTCGTTGTTTATTTACAGGGAAGAGTTGCAATCAGTCCAGCGGGAACTGGAAGTCCTTTCAGAACAGTACTCTCAGAAATGCTTGGAAAATGCTCATTTGGCTCAGGCCTTGGAGGCGGAGAGGCAGGCCCTTCGCCAGTGCCAGAGAGAAAACCAGGAGCTCAATGCGCACAATCAGGTAAGACATTCAAAAGCTCTCCGTGGAGAGGAAAGCAAGCAGCAAGAGTCTCCAGTTAAGGAGTGGTATATGTAAGACCACAACAAAGAAGTTTTCCACAGAGAGATATTCCATCTTTTCCTTCTGCTACTGTTCCTCATATTCATCCTTTCCCCATTAGTCCAGCTTTGGAGTCTTGGAAGTTTAGATTCACTCCCCCTAAGTTTCTTTGAACAGTTTCTCCCATAAGAGAGGTTTAGAAAATGAATTCAGAATCTAAGACCATTGTTGTCTCTTTTGCTCTCAAGCCCTGCATGCCTGAATAAATATTTATTGGGCACCTACTGTGTCCAAAGCCCGGTTAGGCATGGTGGGAGACAGTCCCTGTCCCCAGGCACTTAGAATCATTGGTAACATCTTTAGATTTTGGATGGAAAGTTGGACTAGATAATGAGAAGTTTCTTGTCGCTCCAAAAGACTGTGATGCTGCTGATATGTGCACACGAGACAATTATAACATTGCCTTGCATGGTTACAGACTATGCGAGGCTAGGTCAGATCAGAGAGCTATCGGTGCTGGAGTACTTACAGGAAGGTAGAACTTGAGTTAGCCCTAAAGAGATAGGCTTTGGAATGTATTAAGTGCTAACTATGAGCCAAGTACTATGCTAAGTGCTGGGGATCGGAATATTTTAAAAATAGAAATAGAAACCTCAGTACATTGGCTACTTTCCAGGAGCTCTCCTAATGTTCTGACTGGGGGAAAGAACACCTAAAGAATGTTCAGCTGTAGGGTGGTAGAAAGGCCCAGAAGTCCTAGGGGTACTGCATGGAGGCAGCACAAAGTCCAGGGGTCTTGAAAAGGCTACATAATGGGTCAGATGGCAGTTCCAGGGTCGGGGGCATAGAGGCAGAGTAGGTGGTAAGAACTAGAAGAACTTAGGAAGCAGCGGCAGGCAGATAGTAAAGCCTGGTGGTCATCTAAGGAATGGAATTGGTAACTCACCCTCCTCCAAGTGGTGTTAGCAGTTTGGCATCCAGGTGCCAGGGCAAGGTGGGAAGACAAGAAGGGAGGGCACCCAGTGACAGGTCTGCTTAGGGCAATAATCTCCAGACCTTTTTGAGCAAGAAGCCTGTTCCTTATACAAATATGTGTATATACATGTATGTGTGTATACATACATATATACATAAACATATATATATATATATATTAAAACATACACAAAAGTAGACATTTTTAAAGAAGGAGATAAATGGCATTTTTTAAAGCAGTACAAAAATTCTTTTTTTGCTGTGATTAAAATTATTACTCACTAGTCACTGCCCCAGAGTAACAGCCATAAGGTGATATGGTGGGTAGTAGGTGGATATGCCAGAGAAGAGGAAATTTTCCTAATGGCATCTTTACAGCTGTTGTGGTGGGTGCTTAGATCATGGTTGGGGGAAGATGGGAGCCTTCACAGTGACTGGGGTGGAAATGGGGAAGTTGGAGTTGGAGTAAGGAAGTGATAGAGGATAATAGGTAAAATGCAGTTGGCTTGGAGCCAACCCCACAAATAGCTGTTGCTGGGAGAGTGATTTGCATCTTCTCATCTTCTAATTGTTTGATGACGCACCTATCCCCTTGAGGCCATGTCACAATTCATACTTTGGAGATCACCATGTTAGGGGATGACAGAGAGAGAAAATGAGTGTAATAGAATATTTATATTGGGGAGAAGTTGGAGCTAACAGGATAAACTGGAACGAGATTAGGAGACTTGATTTCATTTTCTTTTGCAGCCTAATTTGATTCTAATAATTATGTCACTGAAGGGGCAGTGCTTGGGTTTGCAAATCTCTATGCCTACTATGGGTGTTGCTGATTTTTTTTTCCCTTCTTTCAGGAGTTAAATAACCGCCTGGCTGCGGAGATCACTCGGTTACGAACGCTACTGACTGGGGAGGGTGGTGGAGAGGCTGCTGGTTCGCCTCTCACACAGGGCAAGGATGCTTATGAATTAGAGGTACTTTTCAAACTAAAATCAGTAAATTGAGGACAAATCAATAAACATGTAAGGCCCAGTATGAGATACAAATGTATTAAACTTGTTCCCTCCCCTCAAGGAACTTACCAGTGCCTACCTGGGAACACAAGACATACACATTCGAGAGTTAAATGATAAAAGATTTAAGCGATAGCCCAATGTAGGAATAGAAGAGGTACCAGAAGGCTGTGAGTTATTAGTTGACAAATCAATTACAGAGACATCAAGTTCATCATCTAGTTCTTTTAGAGTTCAGAGCAAGAAGCAATTATTACAGATGGAGAGGTCAGAGATGGCTTTATGGAAGAGAAATGTCAATGGAAGCTATGTCTTGAAGGAAAAGAGGCTTTGGCTGAATTGGGGAGATTGTGATGGATATCCTATTAATAATACAGAGAGTTGACTATTCCCTCGAAGGGATGGAGCGGCTAGACTTGCTTTTCCTTGTTCCTTTACCTGTACCTTTACCATCAACTGCAGGTACTGATAATATAAATTGTAATTGCCGAATTTAGGATCTACTTGATAACTACACTTCAAAACCCATAAAGTAGGTGGGTCCAAACTCAGAACATGACTTTTGATATAGAATATGTACTTTGGTTAAGCTGGTAAGAGAGAGCATGATCCTTTTGGTGTTTGAAGAGACCTGGGTTTAAATCATGGCTTTGACACTGTGTGATCTTAAACAAGGCACATAACATCTCTGAGCTTCAGTTTCTGCCTTTGAAATATGGGGATCAAAATTCTTGTGCTATCTGTCTCACAGGACCATTTGAAGAAAACACTTTATAAGCTTTAATGCACTATATATGAGTTATTTGCTAGACACTTAGCAAGCCATTCTTTAAAAACTGTGAAAGAGCAAACTTCAGCTAGTGACTGAAATGTAAAGGATCTTTTTGAGAAGGGAGATTAAGGAGTCTTTTTGAAAGTGAGTGAATCACTTTTTGTGTGTGTGTGTGTGTGTGTGTGTGTGTGTGTGTGTTTTTCTCTCCCTCCTTTCCCTCTTCCCCCCCTACCCCCAACCCTTGATTGCATTTATAGGCTTGGCAGGTTTGTTTCTGAACAATCACATTTCGTTTTTGTTTTATAGGTCTTATTGCGGGTCAAGGAATCAGAAATACAGTACCTGAAACAGGAAATCAGCTCTCTCAAGGATGAGCTGCAGACAGCACTGAGGGTAATGTTGGAATAACTATGTGATTAACAGCAAAGAGTGAATAAACTGAGAAATATGAAGGGAAAATGTGAAGGTCATTCCCCATCAATAGCAGTATGATCCCATTTGTATCCTGGGATCTGCTTCTCAGTTTTCAAGCAAAACCTCAAGAGTTACCATGGAGTAATATAGTCCTTTAAAGTTAATAGAATTTCAGTTGTGCCATATATAGTTTACCCAGGCCATGTTTTTTATTCTAAGAAAATGTGAGGTGGTGCAGTGGATAGAGCACCGGCCCTGGAGTCAGGGGGACCTGAGTTCAAATGCAGCCTTGGACACATAACACTCACTAGCCATGTGACTTTGGGCAAGTCACTTAACCCTGACTGGAAGGAAGGAAGGAAGATAGATAGATAGATAGATAGATAGATAGATAGATAGATAGATAGATAGATGGATGTGCGGGGGTTTCAGGAACTTAAATAAAGGAAATGCCAAAAGTTTCATTGGTTATTCAGCCACATTTTTTGTTCTAAAATGTCATGTTGGCTTTTTTTTTTTAACAGTTACTATCACAACCACCTCCTGGCCCACTTCCCTAGTAAAGCCCTTTTATGTAACAATGAAGTATAATTGAGTAAAATCAGGCACATCGGCCATGTTTGGGAGTGCGTGCCTCATCCTGTACCTAAAGTCTAAAGCTCTCTACTGAGAGAAGGATTTATGTTTTACTCTCTGTCATCTGAAAGCAAGATTGGTCACTTCATTCATCACAGCTCCAATGTACAGCCACTTTCCTAATAGGAAAATAACATGTATAAGACAGGGAATGAATCTTCTAGCTTAAAGCATTAATTGAAGGTGTCTTCTAGGGTTTGTTTGTTTGTTTTTCAAGTCATTGATAACTGGGGAGTCTGCTTTTACTTAAGCTGATCCTTTCCCAAACATTAGAGGTGTTACTAGAAGAAGGGTAGATATTCCTCGAAGGTACAATTCTGTGAATGATGCATCTCTCACTGCCTGCTTCTCCTTTTAGATTTATGTGTGAAATGCCTACTCACAGAACATGTGGCTCAGTTAGAATAATAGACAAGGTCATACTGAATGTATCAACATTTTGACACATCACTTTGACTTGGTCATATGTTGATTTCCCTGTTAATCTATAATCTTTTTTTTTTCCAGGACAAGAAGTATGCTAGTGATAAGTACAAAGATATCTACACAGAGTTGAGTATTGTGAAGGCCAAGGCAGACTGTGATATCAGCAGGTTGAAAGAGCAGCTAAAAGCAGCCACAGAAGCACTGGGTGAAAAGTCTCCTGAAAATACTACGGTGTCGGGATACGGTTGGTTTCCTTTAGTTTTCCTTTCTTTCTTAGTTCCTATGCCCTCATTAATACGCACCAAATTACATTAACTTGTGGATACTACTGAAATCATGAATGTGTATTGGCTTTTGTGAAAGCTGAAGTTTATGTCCATATCATCATCATCATCATTATCATTACATGCTGTATTTAGTACAGTATAAAAAGAGAGAAGGGTTGAATGCAAAGTATTAATCTCTACATCAGGATATGCGGCAGAGAAAGGAATGCCTGTATAACGCATCAGTCCACAGCTTTTGGTGTAGTAATGTTTGACAGAAATACTATAAATATTATCCCAACAGAGACAAAAGAAATGAAGACTGTTAGTAGTGAATGCTACACATAGCTATATCCTCATAAATGGAGAATTTAAGAGAAATAGATTGGGAAGCTATGGACATGATAAGCAACAAGAAACGTTATAGGAAGTGAAGTTGAATACATTTAGTAGACACCATGTGGGTTTCATTCCTTGAATCAAGCAGTCTGTATCCAATCAAACTGCTGACATTTTAGAGAAAAGATTAATACTAAAACAAGACTAAAAGAAAATGCGAAAATAATAGATGTGCGTTGAGAATAGTTCCAGCCTATTTAAATGCATTATTGCTACTGAAAAATTGATTTTATACAAAAGTTTAACAGATGTAAACCAGTTGTAGTAATGAAACTAAAAGCAGCCTAAAAACTGCTTCAGTCAGGAACCACTCTGTTTTCCAGGAGCAGCAGGCTATAAAACTCTACTACAGAGGAAGAGAATGTCGTCATACTATAGATGAGAAGTTTGGGAAGCAGATCACAAGCCTGGCACAGAGGCATAGTAGTGTTAGTGATGGGCGGATGGGGGAGGGGGCCTTCATTTATCTAGATATCTGCTGGAGGTTTCGTTCTACTAAAAGCAGAACCGCTGGTAACTTCTTCACATGTCTGACAGATAATTTCATCCTTGAAAAGGTAGAAGAACCAACAAAGAGAAATTCTAATCTGGATATGGTTCTCAATAGCAGGGAGGGAACTGATTGCTGGGGTAGAAATGATGTGAACTCTGAGAGGAGTGACCACTCAATCCTAGACTTTGTAACAGAGGAGAGGAAATCCTGGTAGAGCCTGACAGATACTTTCTAGATTTTGGGAAAGCAAATTTCATGTGGGTCAAAAGAAAGATAGGTACAATCCCATGGACTAAAATGCTTTAAGAGAGGTCAGCCCAGGAGACATGGAAGTTACTCAAGAATGAAATTCCAGAGAAACAAAGGAAAATAATTCCATCGTGGAGAAAAAATGGCACTTGTTTCAAGAGACTGTTGTGAATGCACAAGGAACTTATTAGCCGACTTAGATTTTTTAAAAGAAATATATGGAGGATGGAAGCAAAGCCAGACAATAGAAAATGAATATTAAATTGTGGCATGACCCTTAAAAATGGTACTAGGAATGCTAAAGTTCAGAATGAGGGAGACTGGGGGAAGCTATGGACAGCAGAAAGGGTTTTTTTAAAGCTATACTGGAAGAAAAAAAGAGGATCACAGGAGGGATAGTTCCTGTTTATGGAGTAAATGGGATGATGACAGTTGATAGAAAGCAGCTCACTTATTATTTTGTTTGTCTTCTCTGCAAAGGAGAGTGACGTTTTAGTCAATCGACCAATCAACAAGCATTTGTTTACTACTTACAGATATGAGAAAAGACAAGAACAATTTTTGTTTTGTTTTTGATAACACTATGGGAGTATAGTCCCTAACAGTGAATTACTAGGTCAAAGGTATGGTAATATTTTACTTGGAGTCAAAAGATACCGGTTCAAGTTGTGGACTTGCCACTTGCTAATAAGTTTATGGCCATGGCCAAATTACTTACTGTCTCTGAGCCTCAGTTTCCCCATCTGTAAAACTGAGGTAAAATACTAGGACCACTTAACCTCTGAGGGTTGTTGTGGGGGAAATACTTTGTAAAGTGCTATTATCACAAAATCACATTACTAAAGTATTTTGTGTTATTCGATTGAAGTTACATAAATATTATTAATAAACTGTAATTAGTTTCTAGTGGCATTTCTTAAGTCTTAGCAAAGATGGTCATGGAAATTTAATTCAGTATAACTGAGTTCCCTAACTCCTCATTGAGTATTTCCCTTACCCCCACTTATAATCATTATGCTTAGAAATGCTTTGCAATTTTTAAAAGTTATAAGCTATTTAAAGACTTATAGAAGGAAAAGGTTAATGGGCCTGTATGGTTTTTTCAGATATCATGAAATCTAAAAGCAATCCTGACTTTTTGAAGAAAGACAGATCCAGTGTTAGCCGTCAGTTAAGGAATATCAGGTCAAAGGTGAGTTTTGATTTTTAAAGACTACGGTGATATGGAAGAGTTCAACTTCAAGAGCAGTAGAAGGCAGCCAAAATGGAAACAGCCATTCATTTCCAGAAATGAACTTTAATTTCACAGAGCTTATGCCATCTGCAGAATTACTAATTACATATTGAGTGTATCTACTACAAGAATTTTAGCAAGGGTCAGGTTTCTGTCTCACAAACGAAATTAATCTTTAAGAGGCCAGGACTGAGAAGTAGAATTTCTAGTTAGTTCTACTTTCTACTTCAGTAACCAGTATCATCCAAGCTTCTGTGTTGTCCGATATTGTTTTGCCTCCTGTCATCACTACTTCCGTCATGTATCATCACTTGTGTCTCCATATCTTGGTACTGATGACTTTTGGAGAAAGCATGAGGTTGTGGGTATATATAGGTAAACAAAGACCCTCTTCACCCATCGTGCTGAGTACTTGAATTATCTCCTTTTTGTTCCATGGGATGCAGCCCAGGGGAGTTTTTTTAAAGGGTGTCCATGCTTTTTCTGGGCCCCTGTGGTGGGTGGAGGGTGGATTGTTATGAACACTGTTGCATTTAGGATTTATATGCTTCTTGTTGTTTATTTTTGCTCTTTCCCCTGACAGTCCGTAATTGAGCAGGTCTCATGGGATAACTGAAACGAGCCAGATTCCAGGTTCCCTGTCATGTAGGTAAACAACCCATACCAACCAACCAACCTGACTCCCTTGAGGGAGCAGCACACTCTGCATGCACTACTCATACCTCCATATCAAGCTATAATCTTTCTCCTTATTTTATTATTACTCTTTTTAATTGATCATCTCTCCCACTCCAGAATCTACATGGAAAACCACATAAAGTTTCTTTGCACCTTCCCCTGGCGAGTTCCTCCCTCACATTTTGCCACCCTGCTTGGCATTGCAATCTCTAAACGGGACACCTTGCCCAGGGAATTAGTACACCTTCACTTTGTTGACTTTGAAGAATAGCAGGCTCTTTGTGAAGCTGGCTTCTCATGGGTGGGCAGGATGTGTTGTATGAAGGGGCTACAATGGCACCTGTGGGAACAGCCAAGCATGCATGCTGAATGACCTGTGCATGTCCCCAACTAAACTCGCTGCATCGTGCACAGATACATTTTTAAAGAAAAAACAACAACAAATCAGACATTTGCAAGGAGAAAGAGTTTCACAAGAGTTATTTTATTTCCCTCAATACGGAGAAGCTGACATTTATCAAGTACCTACTCAGATAACATGAAAAAGTCAAAGACGGTAGTCACCATCGTGCTTTTTAAAACCAACCACCCCCTATTCCACTGGCATAGTGGAAGTACCCTATATTCCAGATTTGCTGAGTTAACCTAGTGGATATTTGCTGTTGTGCACATTTGCAGTTTGTATTTTATCTAGTTGGTGAGTGTCAATGCTATAAAATAATGCAGAGATTTGACAGACGTTGATTGTAGCGTTCTCTGGTTAGGTAAGCTGTTTAAAGGGGGAAACATCAGGAGAAAGTAACTTTGAATGGATTTAATCTTTCCCCTTTTTTGGTATTTTTAAATGTTTTGTTTTATCAAAATGGAACTCTTCTGAGGCTTTTTAACAATCTTTAATGGAAACAAGGGAAGGATTTTGGTCAGAAGAGAGAATAAAGGACTTGAAATGCTGAATAAGAGGATTTCCACCATACGTTGGATTGTGAATAAGATGGAGGTAGTTGAGTACATGTACTTTATAATTAAGCTATTGTTCACCCAGATTCCCTTACCTAGTTAAAAAAGGTAACAGGATTGGGGCAGCTAGGTGGCATAGGAGATAGAGCATCAGCCCTGAAGTCAGGGCCTGAGTTCAAATCCGGCCTCAGACCAAACACTTACTAGCTGTGTGACCCTAGGTAAGTCACTAAACCCCAGTTGCCTTAAAAAAAAAAAGTTACAGGATCCAAAAGAGATGGTCAGTTATGGTAAATGGAATAATGAGTATATTATTGCAAGCGGGACAGGATTAAGTTAATTTTTATTTAAAGGAGTGCTGTTCACCTAGAGGCATCTAAATGTGATTTATGGCATTTTAACCTTTAAATCTATTACATGAAAAATTAAATAGTCCCATTCCCTCACAGAGCTTACAGCCTATTGAGGCAGATAAAATTCACAGATAAGTACATATAAAATATGTGTATATGTATATAGAGAGGTATTGATACAAAAATGATATCTATCAAAAACACAATGTTGGGGGAGAGGGGATTAACAACCAGGGGAATGAGGAAAGGAATTTTGAAGGAGGTGAGGAGATGGCTTTCTTAACCTGAACCTCCAAAGGACCTAGCGATTCCAAGAGGAAATGAGGAAAGGAGAGCATTCCAAGGATGGGGAGCATAGCCTTTGTAAACCCAGAGGTGAGAACTGGAGGGGTAATGTATGGGTATCGGCAAGTATGCCAGTTTGAGCTTACTTAGAGTGCATTAGGGTAGCAGTAATTTGTAATTGGCCTAGAAAACTAAGCTGGAACCAGATTGTGAGGGACTTTAAATGCCAGACAAAGGGGGATGTATTTTTATCCTATGGGGAAATAAGAGTTACTGATGCTTTTTGAGCAGGAGAGTGTCATAGTCAGACCTGAGCTGTTTACATCTGTGTGGAAGTTGGGCTGTAGAGTGATTGGATACAGGCAACCACTTAGGAGGCTTTTGCAATAAATAATCCAAGTGAGAGGTGATAAAAGCTTGGATTAAGGTCATTGTGGTGTGAATAAGAAGAAAGGAACAAATAGAGAAGGAACTGACAAACCTGGACTGCTGAATAAAGATGGCAGAAGAGGAGGCAGAGAAGAAGGAGCCAGGGCTGTGTAGGTTGTAAGCCTGACTTGACTAGAAGCACAGCAGTGCCCTCAGTAGAAAAGGAGAGTATCATATTTGGGATACCTATGAGACATCAGGGTAGACACGAATTCAACAGGAAACCTTCCTTTTTCAGTTGAGGTGAAAAGATCTCAGAAGGAATCTAGTTCAACTCCCTCATTGTACAGATATGAAAACTGGAACCCAGCAAGGTGAAGGCACTTCCGCAAGGTCCCCCGGGCGGGGAGAGTCAGAGGTGGGTCTGATACCAGAGTCATTGCTTTTTCTGTTCTGCTCTGCTGATGGCGTCAAGTGGAAGCCATTGAAGATGTGGAACTGGAGCTCAGCTGAGAGCTGGAGATGCAGGTGCTGATAACATATGCATAGAGATGATAGTGGAGTCCAGGGGAGCTGATGGGACCACCCCAGAGAATACAGAGGGAGCAAAGGAGAGGGCCCAGAACAGAACCCAGAGGGTACAACTGTACATTAGACCTGACGTACGAATGATTAACTTGTAAAGAAGACTAAGAAGGATCTGACAAGTAGAAAGAGAACCAGGACAGAATGGTGTTATGAACATCTAGAAGGTGGTGATCAGCCGTGTCAAGGGCTGAGAGATCAGGAAGAATTAGGACTAAGAAAAGGCCATTAGATCTGACAAGTAAGAGATCATTTGTGATCTTGGAAAAGGGTAACTTCCTTTGAATCATCCCCCAGAAACCAGACAAAGCTTTGAAAGATGAATGGGAGGTGAGAAAGTGGAGCTGAATTTGAAGACCTTTTTTCATGGAATTCTGATTGTAAAAGGGAGGGGAGATATAGAACAATAAATAGTCTGTGGGGATTAGTGGTGGTGGTGTTCAATCATTTCTTTTGCTCCTACTCTTCATGACCCCGTTTGGGGTTTTCTTGGCAAAGATACTGGAGTGCTTTACCATTTCCTTCTCTAGCTCATTTTACAGATGAGGAAACTGAGGCAAACAGGATTAAGTGACTTGCCCACAGTCACATAGCTAGGTAAGTGTCTGAAGCTGGATGTGAACTCGGGAAGACTCGTCTTCCTGACTCCACTACTGGCATGTTCATCAACTGCACCATCTAGCTACCTGTGGGGAGAGTAGGGTTGAGATTTTTTAAGGAGAAAAATTTGAGCATGTTTGTAGGTGGCAGGAAAAGATAAGGCAAGAATGGATAAGGAACAAATGAAAGTAGTGGAAAAAATGGAATGATTGAAGGGGCAAGCCTCTGGAGAGCAGCATGGTAGGGAATGTGAGATCAAGGGGTCAAGTAAAGAATATGTTGGTGAGGAGAAGGGCCAACCCCATCCTCTGAGACTGGGTTACAGGAGAGAATGTTGAGATGATTTGAAATGTGGGATTGGAGAGAAGAGGAAGCTCATTCCAGGTAGCCTCCTTTTTTCAGTGGTGTAAGAGTCAAGGTCCTAAGCTGAGAAGGAGGAGGGAGAGTAGGTTGCGTTTCTAAAATATAGGCATCTCACCTCTTTCTTAAGAACTTCTTTAGTGGATAGAGCACCAGCCCTGGATTCAGGAGGACCTGAGTTCAAATCCAGCCTCAGACACATAACACTTACTAGCTGTGTGACCCTGGGCAAGTCACTTAACCCCATTGCCTAGCCAAAAAAAAGAACTTCTTAGTGACACAGAATCCATAGTCCATTCTCTTTCCTATATAGATCCAAAATCTGCCTCTTTGTAACATAAGGTCATAGAATGTCACTGTTGAAAATGAATCCTGTAAGTCATCTAGCCCAACTTTCTTTTACAGATAAGGAAACTCAGACCCAAAAGTTAAGTGATTTGCCCAAGGGAACAGAGAGCCAGGACTGTAGAGCTTGGGTCACTGTATCATTCTGTCTCTGCCACCCATTAGTGCCAGTCCTCTGGAGCTGTGTGTGTTTGTGCCGGGGCACCATCCCTGTCTCACTGGGTTATCTGGAGTAAATCAGTTCTACTTCTTTCTCTTGTCATTGGGGGTCAGGTCTTTCCATCTCGGGTGCAGGTCTTTCCATACCCATTAGTGCTAATCTTCCCCTTCTATCAGCTTTGTTCCTTTGTTTGACCGTGAAGCCTGTCCCACCAAGTCTTTTACACTGAACTTAAAACACCTCCCAAAAGGGCATTTCTATACACACACACACACACACACACACACACACACACACAATATCTGTGTTATGGCAGGTAGGTGGCACAGTGGATAGAATGCTAGGCCTGGGGTCAGGAAGATCTGAGTTCAAATTCAGCCTCAGACACTGGCTGTGTGACCCTGGGCAAGTCACTTAACCTGTTTACTTCAGTTTCTTTATCTGTAAAATGGGAATAAATAATAATAGCACTTACCTCCCAGGGTTGTTGTGAGGATCAAATGAGATAAAAATGGTAAAGTACTTAGCACAGTGGCCCTTGGGAGAAGGGCTATATAAATGTTAGCTATTATTATTATTTCTTGTCTGTGCATTTTCAAAAATGCATCAATGGCCCTTTTATTTTTGGCATCCCTATTGTCCCCTTGTGACATTCCCCTCCCCCCACCCCCTCCCCCCAACTACTAAAAACAGAAAGGGGAAAAATCATTGTAACAGAGAAGCATAGTTAAACAACATGGTTTGTTTTTGTTTTTGCTAGGCAATGAGGTTAAGTGACTTGCCCAGGGTCACACAGCTAGTAACTGTCAAGTATCTGAGGCCACATTTGAACTCAGGTCCTCTTGACTTCAGGGCCCGTGCTTTATCCACTGCACCACCTACCTGCCACTTTAGTTAAACCACGTCCAAAAATGTTGTCTTCCTGCATCTTATGTCCAGCACCTGTCTGGTGGTAACATGCTTCATTGTTAGGTCTTGTGGAGATGCAGTTGTATGTTGCATGAATCAGAGTTCTCAAGTTTTTCAGAGTTGTTTCTTTACAACCATTCTGCCCTTGTATAAACTGTTCTATGGATTTTGCTCACTTAAAACTGTGTCATATCCCACCAAGTCTTAATGAGCTTATATATACTTGTTAAATGTCAAGTTCAGTTTATTATCCATATTCTGTGCATGTAGACATCTGAGACCCTGTTTTTTTTTTCTATTCTTCTCCATTCTTTTCCTTTGAATTATCAAGCACTTATTCTACCATTGTCCCGTGTTATACCTATTAAACTCTACAGTTTCTCATTTTATAGTTTTATGTGGACATCTTCCCTCTTCCCTCTTTAGTTTTGGTTTAAATCCTTTTTGGTCAGGTTGGCAAGGGTCTGGTCAAATTCATTCTTCCCATCACTCAGTAAAGGCATTCATGGTCAGGTGTCATTTTGGTGTCTGAAGCCATGGTCCAGAAAAGAAATTCCTCTTCTTTGATATCAACATAGTGGATTGTTCACTTCTTATATCCTCTTTTTTCTTTCAGGATGCTAACCTTCTTCTAGGGAAACAGATGAAAACAATGTCAGGACCTCCTAGGTCCTTTGGCTTCCTGCTACCTGCCTCGAGTTTTTTTAGGTTTAGTGTCGTTATTTCCACCTTAATCAGCAGGAGGATAGCTGTCTGTGCGTTTGATAAGTCTGTCATATCTCAGAGCTAACTCCAGAAAGACACCACTCCCTTCTAATGAGCTAAGTCAAGCCTCCATATGACTGTCTCTGGACCCTTCAACAGGGAGTCAATAATCATTATAATACTTCTCTTCTTCCTGGTATCTGTAATAGGTTTCCTTGCACTTATAAATCTCCTTTATTGTTCTTTGTAGCATTAGAAGTGGCCACTTCAAGTTCCAATTCAGCCTCAGATCTGCTGAATGACTCCAGTGCTTAAATTTTTAGCATTCTAATATTCACCAGTCTCTTAAGGACAGATATCTAGAAGTACTGCCTTCTGTATCATTGCCATATTTAGTTATATGAAATAACAGGGTTAGTTAATGGGCATGCCATGTTAACAGACCAATAAATTCTAGCTCACAGGTCAGAAATCCTGGTGTTTGACAACAATTAAGAAATGAAGTACATTTTTATTTTCCTTAATATAAACATTTGTAAAAACTAATGAAAAACAGTAGGAGAATTAAAATGGAAATAGTGTAGTATTGTCAATAGCTGCTGGTGTGGTTTCAAGTAGACAGTTTTCTGGAACTAGGTATGTCATGCTTTAGTTATGACTCACAAAGTGATATTTATATGTGCTACCTGTATCACTAAGAGCTCCATATCTCAACAGTAGATTTTCACAAGCCATGACAGTATGCTTCACCAATAGGACTTAACATTCTTTTAAGTATGTATAAGATGAGTTAGTAATGTTTAAAAAAAGTCTGTCATAACTCAAAAATTATATCAACTCAGCACGAATGGGAACAGTTTTCAGTAGTTTTCCCCATAATGACAATAAGACACATTGGGTAATTTCTGTAGTCCCAGCAGGACTTTGTAGTAAACAATTGCAGCACGTTTTTTTTTTCTAAAATGTTGACTGAAGTTTGAGGTATGGTCTTGGGGATAGAAGATAATGTATCCATGAATCTACCTAGCATAAATGGGGAATCGAACCTGTGATTTTGGTTTTATTAACAAACAACAGAATATAAAGAGAAAAGGAAAAAGTAAGCTGCCCCAGAGAATTGTGGGTTTTTTACCCAAATCTTTCTATTTGGATTCTGAAGTGACACATACAGCAGCAGACCACATGAGTGTTGAGTGAGGAAGCTGCACAGTGAATGAATGAGTACTGGTGTTTTTGCAGTCCACAGCTTGTCACTGGTGATTTACTAACTGTTCTTCCTTCCTGCTTCTCTTCTTCAGTGTAGAAAAAACTGCTAGAGCCTGAAAAAAAAATAATGTCCCCTCAACCCTGTTTGCTGTGATTTGTGACCGTTTGACAGGCCTGTGTCTCTGCATGGATGCTCTGTTGTTGACGATCCTTGTTTCCCTGCAGCCCCCTACATAGGATAGGGCGCAAGAAGGCCCCTTGGCTGTTCACACAGTTCACATGAACATGTTTGTGCACGGCAAAAGGGTATGAGATTTTAGCTTCTAGAAGGTTCGCATTCTGGCTCAGCCCCAGGGTCTTGCCTGGTCCTGCGGAGCATACTGTCTCAACCTTTTGTGATTTAGGTTTATTTAGACATTTATTGGTTTATAATTTGTTAATGCTTCTCATGTTTCAAAGCACTATGCTGAGCACCTTAAAGGATGAAGAGATGAGTAAGCCTCAGTTCCTGCCCTTAAGCAATTGACATTTTAGTTGGGAGAGATGATAAATACATGTAACACATAAAAAGGCAATACAGAGCATTCATGTTGTGAGTTTTATAGTATCACTATTATAGTTCACAACATTACTACAATGTCACTTTATTCTCACAATACATGTGTAAAGTAAAAGTATCATCACCACTTTAAATGACAAATGATGGTACAGGGTCATTAATTATGTTTAGTTATATAGTCAGCAACAGAGCTGGAGCTTCCCAACTCTACTAAGTTGGTACACAATGTTCATAATAAAAGATGAATAAGTTGCCATGAAAAGAGAGAGAGAAAATTTTCTGTCTTAAGTTCAAAAGGCAGGGTACTCCAAATGTTCCTAGTAGTAAATGACACTTAATTTCACTGAGTCCCGGTGAAATCTGTGATAATATGAAAGAGGTCAATTTATTCAGTTTGGTTTGGCTGACCACATGGCTAAAAAGACATCTTATAGATTGTGACAGGCAGCTGTGTCACAAATCCCACTGAGTCAGTTCGCTTCTTCGTCTTTCTTGGACACATGTTATAGATGGTCAGTTCTCTGCTTCGGAATTGAGTAGGATCATCTTTGGAAAAGCCGTGTAGCACTTTCTTTTTCTTTTCTTTTTTTTTTTTAGCACTTTCTTTTTTGTGCCTTTTGTACACACTGCGATAATCATTTCCCCACAGCTTCTCCCACCTTCTTCTCCTCATTGCACTGCAATAGTAACAAAGAAAAACACTCTAACAAAACCAACGGATGGCAACTGTGTCTGACAGAACATGCCCCATTCCTCATCTAGAGTCCTCTATCTCCCTTAGACAAGGGAGGTAGAATTCATTCTCTGGCCTCCGGTACCGAAAGCAATCGCTACAGTTAATGGTTTCGGTGCTACTCATTGCTCCCTATGTTAGTATTATCCCATCAGTGCTATATGGCTGCAACAAAGGATGCGAATCTCAGAAGTATCAATTCCTTGTGATCCAAACGACAATGAAAAAACATACTGGCTGTGCAAATAAGCTATGTAGCATCATAATTACTGATTATGACTAGCATTTGAGAAATTGAATACAAATCCCACTAAAGACACATGGGACTGGAAAAGGAGGAAAATCAGTTGGGTAGTGAGAATGAGAGTCAGTAGATGAATAGCCTGGCTTCTACATAAGTATCTTTTTCAAGATATTCAAGGGGTGGGGGGCGGGGAATTACACACAGAAAAAGATCTCCAGCATACTGGGGGATACTCTGTTGACTTCTTAGGGGTGCGGATGTACGAGAATTCCACATGATAAGGTGTGACAGGGTTTTGGTCTGTACACTTTTGGCTATCCAGGTAGCTACAAGATTTTTAACCTAACCACTCGGACTGTTTGTCGTACAGCTTCAAGCCTGTTCATTTGCAGAGTTCAGCTTCTTTATGCACACCTTCTCGTTTCTCCTTTTATCATCCAGTTACTTTGGGAGAGAGAGGGCAGGAAACTCTAGAATTCCCCAATAACACTTCATGATATGTTTCTCTCCAGCATGTTCCACTAATCTCTCCACAAAGGAGACCAGCCTTTCTCCTTCCTTTGCCTGAGCACCAACACCATTTCTTTGTTTGCACCATGTCCTCCTTTATTTGGGACTTTTACCTAAATTGCCAAGAGCTGTGATTTGGGAAGTTTAAAATCTTCTGCATTTTTTTTTTTTAATCTTTCCACACCCAGAGTCTGAAGGAAGGCCTGACTGTGCAAGAACGTCTGAAACTCTTTGAATCCAGGGACTTGAAGAAAGACTAGTTGTATCCCATTCAACTTGAATACACATCCCACCTGGCTTGCAGCAGCACAACACAAAGGCTGATTTTTGTCTGTACCGTATTTTATTATTATTATTATTGTTATTGTTATTATTGTCATCATTAACTGTATGGATGGATAAGAGACTGATTTATGGATTGTAGTTCACACCACTTCCTGCTGTGTTGATTCCTTCAACTCCTCCCTCCCAACATCTTAGCAAATCTTTTCTTCCACTGTATTCTAGACTTAGTAAATGATTTGGAGGGGGGAGGAAGGCAAACGATCTAATTTCCCTCCCATTCTAGCAGCCTGTATTAGAATTCTTTACTGTAATTCATTACACTAAGTGTCAGTATTAAGGCTCAGCAGCCTATTGATAAGCTAGCTCTGTCTTACCGAATGTATTGGTATGGAAACAGGGCCCAGTTGGCGTATCTAGCTCTGCTGCTAACTGGCAGTGGTTTGGTGCTCGTGTGCACTTTGAGCCAAGTACGCCAGGAGTTAGTCTTAACTCGTGTTTCTCTGAGGTAAAGCCTGAGGACATTCTGTTTCTGCCTAGATTTACAGCACTGACCTACTGGAGAGAAATTAGAGGGGGAGTTGGAGAGGAGAGGTGGTTTGTAACCCTGATTCTGCCACCCTTGATCTCGACTCTGATAAAAGATTTTTCGGGGGGTGGGGGGAGTGGGGAGTGGAAATGATGGCATTTTGTACTCCTTCTACTAATGCAGCTTAGAACCACACATCCCAGAATATTGTGGCAAAGTACTACAACAGAATTGTTGAAACTGATCGTTCCTAATTCTTGTTTGTTTTTTTTTAATTAAATCTTGCACAAAACACCATCTCCCCCTCTCATTACTTCCTCCGATCGTTCTTATGTTATTTTCAGTGATCACCTATTTTTGAAATATGGATTGGGGTTTTGCATTGTGATTCCTGCAATCAGTGAAAAGTGCCTGCTCTAAAAATTTAACCTTTTTTGAAATTACTCCCCATATAAACCATGTCCATGTAGTTTGTTGAAGGGAGGGAGGGGGAAGGAACATGAGGAGGTGGTGACACTCTTTTGGAATGTCATCTTTTATAAATTATTCCTAAATTCAACTGAGATCAGTAGTGACTTAAAAAAAACAAACCCTAGTCAAAATAAGACAATGCTAACAATTTTGCATGATATTTTAATACTTTGTGAATTAGATTGGATTTGTTAAGGTCCGTTCAAAATCCTTAGGACTAATAACTCTGCGTTAAGTTGAAGATTAAACAACACTTTACCGCAAGTGAGAACTAGTTCTGTTGTCTTTCAAAGTAAAAAAAAAAAAAGAAAGAAAGAAAAGTCTGAAATAAGGTCCTTTTGATGGATTCATCCTTTTTCCTTCATCTTGGAGTTAACTTGACACCTATATTGCTAAAAGTCCTCTTTCAAAATGCATTTTAGCTTTAGATGGCCCTAAAGGTGGGGTTTTCCCCCCTGAATTTGAACAGAGTTGACTTGGCCAATCTTTTATAGCAAGTTTCTATCTGGCAAATGGGTAGGTGATTTAGAATAAAATTACTATTAATACCATCCTGCTCAACTTACTTAAAAAGACTGAGTAAAACACAGTAACCTGGGAAGGCAGGCTAAAATACTAAACTATATGGATGGAAAGGGTAGAGGTGGGGAAATGACCTTTAATTACAGTAAACACTCAACTTATTCTTGTCTTACTTGAACACTTTAAACCTCCAATCCCATTCACACTATCCATTCACTTCCTTTCTTTTAACTTAAGTATTAATACTCTTCCAGCTTCTAAATGGTTAAGAGAGCCTATGCCTGTCATTATATCACAAGGAAGGGTGAGTTTTTATGATACTTGTTGTACGTAATAGAAACTGAGAATCAAATAGTATTTTTTAAATCTATAAAATAGAAACCACCTGGTGGCAGAGTTGCTACAAATGGCTAGTGATTTGTGTGTGTGCATGTGCTGTGTTCCATATCACATCTTTTGAATATTCAAAAGCTAGAATTCCCTTTGTAAGCAGGAAGTTATTTCCTGCAATCTATAAAATAATATTTTACTTGCATATGCTAGACCTGGTAGTGGAATCCCTGCTTTTGAAGCAGGTGATTGATAGAGGTGGTGTCCATTTGCTTTTGGTGTGGTGCTGCTCACATTTGCCTCTCTGGGAACGCATGGCCCTCCTGAGAGTTAGGCTTGCAAATCATCTTAGGGCAAGGAGGAAGTGTAGCAGACGAGAATATAGGGTTTGGTACTAGGAGACAAACTGAATCTGACTTGAGGCACTGCCAAGGATATTTACAATTTTGCTGTGTTGTATCATTTATTTCCTTCTCTATGAAAATCAAGCTTACCTGCATGTGGAAGTTTGCATTTTGTTTTGCTTCTTCTATAACACTTTGACCTAAGCAAACTAAGTGAACGTATTTGGATGTTGTTTCTTTAGTTACCCAGCCTCCTAATTCTCAGAGAAGACGACCAAGTGAGAGAACATGAAATGCTGTTATTTGAGCTTTCCCGCTTCTCTCAAAAAGTAGCCTAGTGTGGAAACTGGAATGCTTGTTTTACTATCTAGTTATGTAGGGGAAAAGTAGGATATTTGTGTTGAGGTAGATGAGAAAATAGCAGATCTCTTCTCTTTTGGCCTTTCCCTACCTTACAGTTAAATTCAGTTCAACAAACAACGATGAAGCCACCTGCACTGTACAAGAACACACTCCGTATATCATTTATTTCATTCATTAGGTACTGATTGCACTTATTGTTGAGGATTTTTTTTTGCCTGAGATACAAAGATGAGTAAGAATTTTAACTAGGCAAGTAAAAGCAAGTGACCTTATTTCTTCTGCCACCAGATGAAGATGGCCTGGACAACAACACACAGACTGGTACAGTGTTTGTAAGATGAGTGAGCTACATCCTTTCCCACACAGCTTCATTTTCCTAGATTCTGAAGGGATCATACTCTAAAAAAAGTTAGGTAGCTAAAAGGTAGCATCCCTCAATATTTTTCATACAATTATCTAGGTAACTAAATCCATTGGAAAACTATTTAATGATCCTAATTCTAGAAATTAGTCCCCTAAAAGCATCAGTTAACTAATTTAGTACTTGTGGAGGAAAAGTGAGTATCCTCCTGAGTGTTTTTTCTTCTTTTTAAGGTAACTATAAAATAAGGACATTCTGGGTTCTTCTGTTTCACTTGGCGGGAGTTGACAATGACATAAGACAAGAGGCATGTGATTCAGCAGACACGGCATATACCTTTGGGAAAGTGAATTACGAGACAGGAAAGTATAAGATGAAGGATTGATAGGGTAGATAGACATAAGACAGTGAAACTGCTGGTGGTGTTCCAAATACCCTGACAATTTTGGATTGTGTTGGTTGTTAGTACTATCAGCAGAAGCAGAAATAAGTAACTGAAATCAAGATAAGGATTGTCTTTGGCCTAGTGGATGAGAATGAATAGAGTGAATGAGAAATGAAACTATTTGTTTGCATAGTAGAAATGGCTGATGCATCAAGTTGTCCATATAGGAGGAGAGAACAGCAAGTTGCCTCATAAGAGCACTAAAAACACAAAGCCAAATAAAAGAAATGATGGCTTTAAAAATTAGAGACGTTTTCTTTAAGAACTATGTAAAGCACTTTGCAAACTTCAAAGTGCCATATAAATGTCAGCTAGTATTATTCTAGTCAACTAGTATTGGCATTTAATGAAATGTATTCACTCCAGAAGTAGATGTAGCAATGTAATTTTTAGCATGTTGAAGAATTTTAAGATCTGAACACTAACTCTCCTTTATAACCCAAACTCTAACCATATCAAGATTATCTTTCTTTTGGACTCCAATTTTATTTGGGAAGAGAGTAAAGGTATTACAATGGAAGTCAGGGTTCTAGTCCTGGCTCTACCACTAACTAGCAAAGGCCTTGGGCAAGTCACTTCTTTAATAACTTTATGCTTCACCTCAAAGTTATTATTGGCATAATATATTTAGAATAAACTAAATAATCATTTAAATAGACATTGATGCCATACATAGAGAAATGTAAAATGTAGGTAATAAGACCTACATTTCCTATGTATAAGCAAAGGTCAGCCAAACTGAAAGTTGTAAGAAGGAAAGGAAGGTATCAATACAAGTTTTTTAATCACGTTTAATAAAAGAAACTACATAAATGAAAATTTAACTACAGACAAAACTAAAGATCTATTATACCTTCTTTCCAAAATAGTAGATTTGGTTCTCAGCTAGAAATTAAATTGTAGTTAGCCTCACTAATCTAGTAACTTCAGGCGTCCTGAAACGAAGATAAAAGATAACGCTGAACTAAGCAGACATCAAGGAAAACTATTATTTTTTATCCCATCAGGGAAGACAACAGATGACAGAGAAGGAACACTGACCAGAAAAGCACAGCAGCTGATAGCCATTTAGGTCTGCAGCAAATAGCCCTTTTACCACAATAAATTCTCAAGGACACCAAATGTGATTATTATGTTCAATGTCCTGTTTTCAAAGTCAAGGAAATAATAGCCATTGCTCATGAAAACCTTTAGAATATTAAAAATTAATACTCAGCACTTTATTAAACTTGAAGATTCATTTCCTGAGTAAATGAGGCATTACGATATTGAATGGAAGAATCTGTAGATATAATGGTTCGTTCTTCAGCTTCCTCTTCATAATTCAAATGATTGTTAGTTGACTGAAAAAAGACCTTTTTTTTGAAATAGAAACACAGAATCTGTGTTTACTGCTGATATCCACATAAAGAGCCTACCCAAGAAATGATTCATACTTACTCAAAAGTTCTCAGTTTTACCTGCTAATAGCTTTCCTAAAGTCTATTATAGTAAAGGGTGCAATATATTACCTGTTGTGTTTCTAAATTTCCTCTAACCTGGAATCAGTTTCTGTCATCTTTCTGTTCCATTGAGAGTAGAAATACACTGACTAAAATAAATAGATAATTTCCATGTAGAATAACACAAACAGTTCTTAAAGTTAACCAAAAATAATGTTTATAAAAGAGATCTTGCTGAAATGCATGCTATATTTTGTTTTTAAAAGATATCTTTAAAATTAATTTTCCCTCTTTTTCTTTATTCCAACATGAAATCTACATTTCCAATATTCATAGTGAAAAATCATCATATCCCTCAAATTTTATCTTCATAAAGAGAAATTCATCTTATGATTCTTCTCCACTAGAAAATTGGAGTGATTTTTCTTCTAGGCTGAACAGATAAAGTATTGTTAGATTCATTATAATAAATTATTGAATAAGCTATTGCTTATTGGTTTTCCATTAATCTCATGGTATATAAAGAATGAACAAGCTCAAAATTTACCACTGTAAGAAAAACTTTTTTTCTCCCTCTTCCAAACCAACAAAATGGTCTTTTATTCCATAACATCTGTACCCCAAAACCCTTTTTTAAAAAATTAAGCTCAGATACTCTTTCTACTTTCAAACTCTGAAGCAGGTAAAAAAAAATGAAAATCTAACTTTTTCCCAAAATCAGAGCATTCTGTAATTTTCTTGCTGTTTCATAGTGGATTGTTAGTATAGAAGATATTGTCTGAAATACCCTTAAGGGGTAAAACACAATGTACGTTTCTCTGTATTAGGGGAGAAAGAAATTATACATTTATATGCATAGAAACATAATTCTTTTTTTGCAAGCTGCTATACTTTACATACTTCAGTACTGAAAAGAACCAGATTGTTTAGGAAAAAAAAATTCTGAGTTCTTTGATAGAAAGTTACATGAATCTGAAAAAAAAATATGAAAACAAGCATTTTCAAGGTTTTGTTATAATGCTTTTTTTAAAAAGGGATTTTTTGGGGGAGAATTGGGGGGTTGGAATAAGAACCTGTTTCTTATAATAAAAGAACAGAATTAATTTCTGCTTTAACAGAAGAATGCTTTCCATGGTAGGCAAATCACTGACATGAAAGCAACATGATGAAATATTATTATTTTAAGATACATCCTTGATGTAATTCCTCTAGACCACTGCATTTCTGTGGTCAATATAGAGTACCTATACATTGTGAACATTTAATCTCATGCATGCTAATTATAAATTGCATTTTCTCTTTTTGAAGACAGCTTTGTCTTCAAAATAACTTAAAATCTGTACAGTATTCAAAGCACACACTGTAAATATTTATTACTTGGAAGTTAGTAGAAAGGGTTTTGTGACTTATTTTAAAAAAAAATCTAACACAGATGGTTTCTTTTTAAGATTGGAAAAAAAAGCTGTGGGTGTAATGTTGAATGAACCCAGCATTATGATAGTTTTCAATGACTGTTTTAAATATCTTTTAAAATTCTTTGCTGACAGTTGATTTTGAATATACTTGTCAGATGTATAGTATATCTGAAAAGTATAATCCTACAAAAGTTGAATTTTTCATTGAAAGAATTCAGTAATGTTGTACTTGATATACATGGCATTAACAACCCTCTCTGCATAAAATTTTTTAAAATGAAGAAAAAACTTGCATTTAGCAACGATAGCTACAATGTGACAAAAAAAAACCCTTTTTTACATAATAGCTTAAAAATGTTACTGGAAGGTAAAGTATAAGGTATAGTTTTAACATCAGGGATGCAATCCCATCATTTCTCCAACATTCGAGATTATTAGGTAGGAGATTTACCAAATCTTCAGTTATAATGTTAATCAAACATCATGTTGTAAGCTGAAATTATATGTGCAGGCATTATTTCCAATATACTGTTTTATGTCACATCAATGTAGAAGTGACTTAATTGCAATATAAAATATTTTGGAGAATTGAAGGCTAAAATACAGGATGACCTGGGAGAACATTAGATAGCCCTATTTTATGCAAGTGAGTTTACTGTAATGACTTTAAAAAAACTACCATAGATGAATGAAGTTATAGAAGTCAGTAACAAATTTAGCCATCAAATCCTAGTTGTCAAGTTTATTAAAGCAACCACCTCCTTTATTTCTCCTGGAGCAAGGGGTTCATAATCTTTTTTTGTGTGATTGACCCCTTTGGCAGTCCAGTGAAGCCTATGGACCCCTTTTCAGAATGGTTTTAAATGCATAATATATATAGAATTACAAAGGCAACCAATTCTATTTAAATACAATTGTTGGAATGTTTTTAAAAGTTCATGAAATTAAAAGTTAAGAATTCCTATCCTAGAGGAAGAAAGAGGTTGGACATGATAGATACGTTCATTAATAAGTCTTTGTATATTCATTGTTATAAAATTAATGTAAATATATCTTGCCTTGAAAGCTTTTAGAATTCACCTCCATCTTTGACTTGCCTGCTGACTTAGTCTTACAATAATTCAAGACCAAGAATTAAGTAGTGAGAAGAAATCATATGGTTTTCTAAGTAATATTTATAAAATGGTAAGCAGTGCACTGTGACACTTAGGAATGACATAGCTTGATCTTTTTTCTCTCTTCTATATCCTCTTCTTTTTATCCATTTTTTCCAACATACCCTGCCTCATACTTAATGAAAATAATAATCAATTAGGATAGGTACCTTAATTGAGATATTAGATTGATGGGATTTATAGCTCTGACTTATGTGAACTTCTGAGAGAGAAAAGAAAATCTTATCTGCTGTAACAGTATAAATTGGAAATAATCCATAATGACTTATCCATGCCTAAAATGATCTTAAAAGTAATAAGCCACTGCTAACACCCATGCATGTGTGTGTGTTTAAGCATACACTCACACAGTAGTATACTTTACACAATGATTAATTATTGCACTAATATTAAATGTACTGTGCACTAGATTAAAAAATTTTGTGAAAAATGAAACTGGTCCAGGGAAGAAACACCAACATTCTGACCATAAAAGCTTATCATCTGTAAATCAGATATGAGGTAAAACTTGTGTGTGTGTGTATATATATGTATGTTTAGCCCCACATGGTTTATCTATCAACCCCTGTCAGATAGTAAAGGATGCTGATCTACTTAATAAGGCTTCTCTCCCTCCTTTCCCTTTCCAGTCAATGCAATCCTTTGTGCTTTTTAAAAGCCACTGTTCCTGATCAACTGTTCACTGTAATTAAAACATTACTTTGTCACAATATTTATTCCTTAAGCCTTCTGTGACATGCTAGATTCCTGTGGATGTAGCTGATCATTTTTATTTTGTAAATATTACTTAACTTTACATAAACTATATCATAATAAACTATTTTTGCACCACCCTTTGCATGATGTGTACTGAGGTTCTCTTTATTGCAAGGGTAGAAATATTAAAGTTAGCTAGGTGGGCATTCTGTTAGATATAACTGGGCTATTATTGATTTAGTTTTCTCAGATGTTTGTTATTTTACTTACATAGAAAGGATTTTTTTTTAATGAGTTAAGTATGAATAGAATATGAACTACAAAACTGAAGGGGACCATACCAGATAAGTGAGATCACCTAGCTCTTACTTCCTGTGTCATGACCTTGGGTAACTTACAATCTTCCTGGGACTTGTCATCTGAAAAATTATTGGGTAGGACTAGATGGCCTCAGAGGTCCCTTCCAGCTTTGGATCTTTTAATCTATTGAGGTAAAAAGGGGGAGTCCAAACTCTTGTTTTATTCAGAGCAAGGATAGCAAAAAGACATATTTTATAATATGTAATACAATAACATTGTTATATCAAGTGATAAGGGTAGTAAGGACAGGACTATCCCCAGGGTTTCCTAGAAAAGATGAAGAGAATTTAGTCCTAAATTTCTTGGTCATACTTAGTTACTTGATAATCAAGGGTATCACATTTTACATTATTATAGAAGGTAAGAGTCTTTTTTAAGATGGATGACTGGCTTTTTAAAAATAAAGCTTAAACTTGTAAGTTTATAAAATGATTTAAAGATACTTAACTATTATCATTATAATGTTTTTATATAAAGTTCCAATAGCACAATGGTACTGTATAACAAACTACTTTTCTGATCAATGAGAATATGAACTTGAAATCAGTATTGAGTTTAAAAAAAATTCAAGGCTACCTATATGTTGTGTTATAATGTAACAGGGTTGCACATAACACTATTTTCCTTTAATCAGGACCTCTGATTTTACTGAGGTAGGGAACCCCCAGTGAAGAAATTAAGGAACATCTATAACCAACTCTTCTGCAATTTATAAGACTTAGTGTTCCCTGGGGCACTGAAAAGTTAAGGGGCTTACCCTGTGTCCAAGAGCTAGTGAGAGGTAGGATTCAAACCCAATCATCCTGACTCTGATGGCTAGCTCTTTACCCCACTATGCTATGATGTCTCTCAAATATTTACTATTGCTACAATAAAAGCCATTTCAGAATCAAAAGTGTGTATTTAAAACGCCCATAGAAAACATTTAGGGGAAAAAAATCATCAAAAGTTTAAACTATTAGACATTTCATGTAAGACCTGTTTTTCGAGATCATTCTGTACCCCACCTATAAATCAAATTACATGCCAGAATTATTTTTTGTGAGCCCTTCACTCATTTCATGAGAGGTAACTGACAAGTAAAATGGATAATAACAGGGATTGGTTTTTTTTAAAGTAATTTCTAAAGTATGACATAAGGCAGATTGTGCTTAATAGCTTATAATCATTGCTGTTCCTACAGATGTTCCTGAGGCAGTGCAAGATCAAGTGTCTTATGAAAATTCAGTTTCCTGTAATTTCTGGTTTTATTCTAATTCACTGAAAATTGGTAGCCTTTGTATGGCATGTATGGTGTATTTAATTATTACAGGCTGTTTGCCAACCATTCTAGATAAATGTTTGCCATATTTAGGTGATATATTTTTCAGTTGTGTCCTTGGAATATATTCTTATGCTGAGGACTCAGAAACAAAGGGCAGCAGGCTTTGGGTCCTCTTCACTCCACAGAACTGTTAAGGCCTCTTTGAAAAATAAACTGAATTCCTAGAACACTGCCACTAAGTAGTGCAGAAGTGGTAGGCAGAAGAGGATTTGATAACATTAAAATCAAAATTGAGTCAACTATTTTAGATTTCTCAGCTAATATAAAAATTTTAATAGCTAGGTTAATATAAAAGGCTATTAGGAAGGGAAGGTCACTTCCGAAGAGTTTCTTTACATTCTAGGAAGGTGCTTTTCCTAGCCAAATAAGTAAACTTACTACCTCAAAAAAAGTTTAATATTCATTTGCAGAGACCCAACTAGATTAAACAATAATAAAGACAGAGAGGTTTCTCTCTGCAAACAACTATTTTGGTTATAAGATGAGAGAGAAAATTGGCAAGGTGGACATTATGGATCTTTTTTGTCACTTAAGGTATATTCTAGGATTTCCTATTTTCTTTTCCAACATATAAGTTGCTTGAGGAGATGCAAAGATATTTACCTCAAAAAGAAAATGATTAGATCTGTTCAAATTGTCATTTTGCTTTTCTAGTTTGAATATATGTGAGTACTATCCTTAGTAACAAAATCCAAGATAGACAGGCATTTGTCGTGTTTCTAACCAGTCATGTTACCATTTGGTGGGAAGAGGGCAGTAATCCAGAATGTCATGCATAATTTTACACATTCTTTCACTGCTGTTTCCCCAAATCTGAGATTTAATGTGAAAATCAGTTATTAGTGACAGCCTTTAGCTTCCATTTGGGATGGCAACCTCCACAAAAGTTTGGCTCTGATCATAAAAGTAGGTTTTCAAAGACTATACCAGTAGAGGATAAGCCTCTGGAAATCTTCTATCAGGCTAGAAATATTTCCAGTAGATTGGCCACTAGATGGTGAATCCTTTAGCCTTGGCAATCCATGAAGCAGAATTTTTAAAAAATGTCTCTCTTGCCTGTCTGGCACAATGCTGATTATGAAGCAAGTGTAGCAGAAGGTAATAAAAAAAAGTTTGTAGAGTGTTGGTTTCCTAAATGTGAGATGATCTGGTACAATGGGGGGGTACTGGTTCTGCAATCAAAAGACTATGTTCAAATACCACTAGTTATTACCCGACAATGGACAAAAATCAGTTAACCTTCATGGACCTTAGTTTCCTCATCTGTAAAATAAGGGGTCTGGACTAAATGACCTCTGAGGTCCCTTCCAACTCTAGAGCTATCATCATTCATTTTCCTCAGTAACTGACAAGGTAATACATTAATCAAACGACTGATTAACATCAATACTGATGTTTTCACTCTAACTGAACAAGAAGATGAAAAGTTGCACCTAAATAGGATGGGCCAGGCTCTCCTCAAAGAGGCAGATCAAAGAACTGGAAATGATGTCCTCATGTTCTTCAAAGTGACAAGAAAACAATCACTTCCTGGGGTATTTGGCCATCTTGCCTTGCAATGTTCACAAGAACCAAGGCTACCAGGAAGCTTATGCATTAACATCTGCTGCAAAAGATAGGATAGCAAAATCCTATGAAGAACTTGACAAAAATTTTCTTTTCTTTTTTTTTTTGGCTAGGCAGTAGGGTTAAGGGACTTGCCCAGGGTCACACAGCTAGTAAGTGTTACGTTTCTGAGGACAGATTTGAACTCAGGTCCTCCTGAATTGAGGGCCAATGCTCTATCCACTGCACAACCTAGCTGCCCGGGGCCTTAACAAAAATTTTCAAATTAAATTCATCAAACCTCTATTAATTGCCTACTGTGTACTAGTATGATCTTGCTGAGGACCAATCTAGCTGAGTATGGAGAGATATTCACTGCTAACAGGATGGCCACTTGATGATAAAGTCTGTAACCAAGCAACTGATGTACAAAGACTAAAAATGGTACCCCTGCTCTCTCAAAGAGCTTACAGTCTACTTAGAGGATACAGAATGTATGCAAAAAAGTAAGGAAAAGATGGGGTATGATGCAGAGGAAGGGCACACACAGAAAAGAGAGATCCATACACATTGTTCTAAGAAAATTTGAAGAAGAAAGCGGTGACAACTTGGGATCAGGGATGGCTTCACAGAAGCCATTTCACAACTGAACTGCGTGAAGTCTTGAAGGATCTTGAAAGGTGGCAATGAGGAAGCACATCACAGGCATAGGAGATGGCTTGTAAGAATGCATGGTGTTGAATAACAGCATTTTAAGTTTAGGGAAAAACCATCATCCACGCTTGAAAGATAAATTTGAGCTAGACTGGGGAGGGCCTTTAATACTAGGTTAAGGAGCTCATAGTTTTCCTACAGGCAAAGTAGTTGTATAAGCAAGGCAAATTAATACTTGATGACTTCAATGAGACAGTGAGTAAAAAGTAAAGCAGTGATTACAAAGAGCCAGCATGGCTTAATCCAGAACAGGACATGCCAGAGTAATTTCATTTCCTTTTTAAACAGGAATCTAGATTTTTGGCAAAGTTTTTGATAAAGTATCTCCTATTTTTGTGGAGAAGATGGAGGGACTTGGATTAGATGATAATATGGTAATATTCAGAACTGTCTGGATACTGGGGCTCATAATAGCTGTTAGTGGCTCATCACCACAGCAAGTCACAGTAACCCTTTTTGGAGAATCTGTTTGGATCCGTGTTATTTGTTTAATATCAATTTGTTTAGTATCAATGACTTTTTTCAGGTTTACAGATGACACAAAACTGCAATGGATAGCTAACACACTGAATGACAGAGTTAGGATCCAAAAGGATCTTGGCAGGCATTGAGCTGAATCTAATAAGATGAAATTCAATAGGGATAAATGTAAAGTCTGGCACCTGGGTACAAAAAAAATCTGCTTCACAAGATGGGGGAGGTATTATTAGATAGCATTTGTTCTGAAAAGATCTAGGAATTTTTGTGAACTGCAAGCCTAGTACACATCAGTAGTATGATCTGGCAGCTAAGAAAAACTAATAATTATCTCTGCTTGCATTGAGAGATAGTCTTAACCGTACATTACCCTCATCAGGCCTCATATGGAATACTGTGTTCAGTACTGGGCAACATAGTTTAAGAAGGACATTGAGAAGATAGTGTCCAAAAGGGGCAACCAAGGTTGGTGAAGGTCCTTCATGACATATAAAGACTGGTTGAAGGAACTAGACATGTGAAGATGGCAGAAGAGAAGACTCTGGGGATATGACAGCTGTCTTCAATTATTTCAAGGGATACGGAGAAGATTTTATGCTTGCTTCCAAACCAGGAACAATGGGTGGAGGTTGCAAAGAGGCAAATTTAGGCTCGATGTTAGGGGAAAATTCCTAATAATTACATCTGTCCAAAAGTGAAATGGGCTCCCTCAAGCAATGGAATGAACATTCCCCTTTCTTGGATGTCTCAAAGAAGACTGAAGAACCATTTGTTGTGTGTGTCCTAGTGGGTATTCCTTTTGTATGTGGGACAGACTGCATGACCATCGAGGTCTTCTATCTCTGTGATTCTGTGAGAACCAACAAAGAATGACTACATTGAAAATACAGTCTGGGATTTAGAAATGAAAAAGCCAGTAAAAACAGTTTCTATCCAAGCTTCTTTCTCCAGTGAGAAAGTTGAAAATTGATGGACATGGCAAGAACCAAACATTACAAAATTTGAAACGTGAGTATATCTTAAGAGGAAATGACTGGTTACTGATATGGGATCTATATCAAGATTAGCTAACAGTACAGGCAGCCCACTTAACTAATTAAGAGTAAATGTCACAGTCAACACCAAATTAAAGGATAAAGATAAAAAGACTGCATATACAGTTACAAGAGCTTCAACCTGACCCATTAAGGTGGATGACACCAATGAAAAGAAAATGGAAAAAGGTAAAGATAGTAAACTTTTCACAACTTACCCCTTTAATCTTGGCAAAGCAGTAACCACGAAAAAACAAACCAAAAGAGTCCAGACACCCAGCAGCAAACACTGGAGCTCTGCTGTGTGGAAAGACAGAGCAGCCCAGGGCAACACTACTTTATAATATAATTTCATTTGTAAAACATTATAGGAGCAATAACTCATAAAATAGCAAAAACAAGTCTGCAGAAAGGTTGGCATGAGGTCCAATTAGAAGGATTATGACAGAGAAAATGGAGCAGAGTCATCAGGGTTCCTATAACCTATCAACAATAGAAACATGACATTTGTACTCAACATTTAAACTGAAAATGCACAGAGCATTGGCTCTGGAGTCAGGAGGACTTTACTAGCTGTGTGACCCTGGACAAGGTCACTTAACCCTGATTGCTTCCCCTGCCCCTCCAAAAAAAAAAAAAGACCAAGTTGAGAAGAGCAGCTAGACCATGCCAAGTGCACAGAAAAAAATCTCTGCTAGTAACAACATAATACAAAAAAATGGCAAAAAAATTAGAGTAAATAGTGCTACAATAAAAGATGTTGAAAACAAACTAACCCACAAGCCTACTTTCTCATCTTTATAAAATCTTGGTAATGATCTTGTGCAAAAAGAGTATCCTTGATGAAAATACAGGGGACTAGGGACTAGTCAGGCTTTTTAAAAAATACTTTCCAAAATAGACACATCAAAATTGAATGAAAGTATAGAGGGGGAAAAAAAGATCCCATCATGTCTGTGGATTATTTTAAAAATGTCTATTTAACTCAAAACCCATTCAGAAAGGCTCTCTGCCCAGAATTTCTTTTGCATATGAGCAGCAATGGTAAGCTCCTATGAGATTCTTGATAAATCCAACCAGACGTAATTGTTCAATGACTTTCTGATTATTAATATCAAGTGAGGCATAAGAGGAAATGTTATCACCTGGCAAAAGTATTTAACACTGTCATGGAGGATGTCCTGCAGAGTCCAAATGGAAGAAGAATTTCCTATAGATGGTTTAGGGCTTTCGGATGGTTCTACTTGCAACAGAAGCCTCCTCAATGAAATCTACCATTGAAAAGAGATCAGTCATCCTAATAATTTGTACAGGAAAAAATCTGATGAAAAATGCCTACTGTCCAGACTAGCATATGCAGTTGGATGGCCAGATTACTGATTATATTAATACACATCTGGGACAAAACACCTTGCAGATAAGACACTGACCTGGGGAGCAGACGTATAGGACAAAGAACAAGTTGGAGTATATCTGAAAAACTATTCAAGGCTTTCAACAAAACCCAAACTGCTCCCTGACAAACCAACTTTCTAACACCAGTGCCACCAGGCCTGCTATCTGATTACTGGAACACCACAATATTAAAATAATCACAATCTTGCATTGACCCAGAGGGCAACAGAGTTAAGAAGTTGCATAAAGGGACAAGACAGCTTAAGTGCTGCAATGGTGCCCATGAAATGAAACAGACCTAGAAAAAGGCCACCAGCATGTTGCATAAATCCTCTATAAAGGGTTTCTGTGATAACAGAAACAAGAACTGCAGAGGGTGAGAAGGTATGGATGGGCCACTATTTGTACTGATGATATACACACACTGACAAGATCAAAGATCTACTGCAGTAACTAAAAATAAGATAAACATACACATGAGGAGAGGAAATAATTTAGAATGTTTTAGCACTTTACTGGAAAACTTTAGAAAACTCATTCTAGATATTTGCATGTGTAGTACAGATTAAAGATAAATTTAAAACAATATTTGTGGAACTTATAATGGTATGTACACAAGACAGAACGAAAGGCTCTTTTATGCCTAAAGAAATAAAGGATTGAAGATAGAATAAAAATCTAAAAGCTTCTAACTTCTGTCTCTCTTCTCAAAATATGCCTCCAAGATTATTTGAAAACGCATAGTTACCCCAAAGCAAGACAGATAAATTAGCACAAGCCCACATACATTTTTCAATGTAATAGAGAGGCTCTTGCTGGTCCTTTAGTGCCAGGTCTGGATTTAGGAAGACTCATCTTTCTGAGTTTAAATCTGGCCTCAGACACTTACTAACTGTGTGACCCTAAGCAAGTCACTTTAACTGAGTTTCCTCATCTGTACCGAGCTGGAGAAGGAAATGTCAAACCACTGCAGTGCCTTTGGCAAGAAAACCCCAAATGGGGTCACAAAGAGTCAGACACAACTGAAAATAACTAAACGACAACAAAAGTGAGAATGTTTATAAAAAAATTAGCCACCTAACTTAAATAGTAGCCTATTTCAGGCTCCTATTATTTACTGATATTAGCTAAATCATGTTCTAGTAAACATGGTAAAAAAAAGACTGAAATGTTTGCTTATACACAATTTTAATAATATATCTTGCAAGGTTGCACTTAATTATCTCTCCTCTACCATATGGAATGATTGCTGTGCTAGCAAAGGATAAGTAGTACTACAGTCCAGAAGAAACTCAACCACCATATGTACCTTTTTCCTCTCCTCTTCTTGTTCCTTTTTATACTTCCAACTCAAGCCTGTCAATACCTTCAAGAGACTGCCAACTCAATCAGGGATGAATACTCTTATTAGAGCTGAGCTAACTAATCATATGGAAAGAAGCATGTTCATAAGGGAGATGGAAAATCTCAGCTGAACACAGAAATATAGTTCAACAGATTTTTGTAAACAAATAAGAATTAAAATGTTAAAAACCAATGGGTATCTACTTTGTTTACAAAAAATTAATGCTATTAAAGTTTTTCTTACTACAGAACAGCAATGAACATGTTAGATGAAACCTTGCCACAATACAACTTACTACAGCATGAGATTCAGTATATGAGGTCCATCTTCAAATTGTCCAAAAGACCTCACTGTAAGTTGTTTTACCTATAACCCTAAGGAAAACATTAGAGAAAGACTTTGGTTTACTTTGCTTCACTTTCTCTGAGGGAAAAAAGTATAGTTCACAGGGTTGAACTCCTCCCAAATACGTTCAAATTCTTCCAAGAAAAGTCTCACATATTCTTCATCCTCCACAATCAAAACATTTTCTCTATTGTTCTGAATGGCTTGTGTGGTCCAGTTGAGAGAGCCAGTAATAAGCATCTTCTTATCTACAATGGCAAATTTGTGATGCATGTAGCCAGCACCTTGATCATGACGTACCTGGATACCTGCAAAAAATGGTAAACCTTTTTTCAATAATGCCTATTTAAATAAAATCATTTCACGATTTCCTCACACTTCAAAATATGTAATAACCAGCACCCCAATCTCAATGCAGCAACATACTCACTTTTTCTTGGTGCGGGATACCTTGACAAGAATGTGATACTAAGTAATAATCCGCCCCAGTGTTTGAACTACGTTTAACTGGAGTCCCCTAGAAGCACAATCTGAGTGCTGTTACCAATTGTCTTCTTACCCTCTCTATGGTATGTTTCTTCGCTTTATTACACATTCTAGAAGGGGCATGTGTTACCCTCAAAGCAGAGTGCTGTCTTGCAACAACAGAAGAAATTTTAACAGATGAATATGCTAAATTATCCACTTCTTAAATTAGGCCCCTCTTGAAGACTTAATGTGTCTAGTACACAGCTGAAGAACACAGAGGATATAAAGATAGGAGCTAATAACTTCAGTGTAGTAAGCTCACAATTACCCACTGATTGTCTCTAATTATCCACTGTAGCATTTAACTGAAAATATTTTCTACCCTCCCCCAAACGGTTTTGGTAAATATCCGGAAGGGAGGAGCAAAGAAGTTATCTCCATACAGATTCTTAGATTTTCAATAGATTTTATTTCTCCCTGGTCTAATCTTATCAGTCATACAAGAAGCTGTACAACAGTTAAAAGTACTCCCATTTACTAAGCTATTTATACCAAAATCTGACACCATACTGTATCAAAAAAAATTTATACATTGCAAAAATCCACGTATATCTCACTGGTAGTACAAATAAGCTAAGCTAGGTGCGCGGAGCACGTGATTGCTGAAAAACGTTCGTAGGGCTTTTGGTATATTTCGCTTCATTTTCTCTGTGGGGAAAAAAGTATAGTTTGCAGAGTTACACTTCCAAACACGTTCAAATTCTGAGAAAAGTCTCTACTCCTGGTCTCATTTTTTTCCCTTCCCATTGCAGCACCACAAGTTAGGCACGTTAAGTCCTGAGACATTTATAATAAAATGTGGGTATATATAACATATATATGCACTATATATTATACATATGTAATACATGCATAATTTAAAGTCCAATCTATACCTACTGATGTGTGTGCGTGAACATAGTATATTACGGTGCATTACGCACATACACGTATGTATGTCATGCACTGCGGCTGAGCCTCCACACTGAGGACGCGGCCCATACCGCTGCCCTGGCACAGACGGGGGCCGGGGGAAGCCGGGGGAGGGGGGGAAGGGGGCGCGGGCTGCCCGCTCCTACCTGCCTTACGCAGGCGGCCGATCTGGGAGCCGTTGAGCGCCATGTAGTCGCAGTCGGTAACCACGCGCACGCGGACGCCCTGCTGGTGCAGCAGGTGCACGGCGCGGCCCAGCTGCGGGTTGGAGAAGGCGAACAGGCAGAGCTCGAGGCTGCTGCGGGCCGACAGCACGTACTGCAGCAGGCGGCTCAGGGAGCTCTCCCCGTGCGGGAGCGGGCACAGGCAGCTCGGGGCCGTCTCCGCCGCCGCGGCCGGAGCCGTCGTGGCCGCGCCCGAGCCCGCTGCCCCGGCGGCCGGGCCGGGCGATTTCCGCACTTCGGGCCCCGTGGCCGCCGGCGCCGGCGCCGCCCCCGGAGGGCCTCCCTGCCGTTGGGCCTGCAGCAGGGCCTCGGTGCAGGTCACCTGCGAGGGGAAGAACAGCACCTCCCGCCGCGGGGGCCGATGTCTCCGGCGCCGTTGCCGCCTCAGCCAGCCGACCAGGAAGCCCAGGATCTCCAGAGCCAAGCCGACACTCACGGCCGTGAGGCCTAACGTCTGCCAGCGCAGCCGCCACATGCTGCAGCCCGACTGCGCCTGCGCCTACGTGGCGCGCACAGCTCGCTGGCTTCTCCTGGCTCGAGGACACGCGATCCCGGCTGGCGCGAAGGCGAGGGCGAGGCGGCCCGAGGCGCCCGCGGCCTCAGAGGTTCAGCCCCGATTTACAGCCTCAGGACCAGTATTTGCCCCTCGCGCTCCCACAAGGGATGGAGGGAGACGAGAGGGGCAGCGGCGGGCCGGCCTCCGCCGGTCACTTCCGGAGACTGAGGTCACGCGGCCCTAGGTTCAGGGTTGGTTTGGTTGGAGGCTTTGCCTCCCTGCGCCCGGCCCAGCGCCCAGGGAGCTCGCCCTGGCTACAGCCTGCAGGCGTACTTCCATAATGCGGGATAATTCCGTTCCTTGGTATCTTTTGCCCTTGTGATCTCAGATAGTTCTAATTTTGGTGATTTGGGTTTGCCCTTTTCTTTGAGACTTGCAAGTGGATGATCGTTTTTGTTAGTCTTTTAAAAAAAAAGTCTTGGTTTTCTTTATCTTTTCATTTAAAAAATTGAACTGGACTGTTCTCTGTTCTGATCTTGGTTATATCTCTACTACTTTCTGCTCGTCTGATGGCTTTGTTTCTTTCCTCCGTGTTTTAGAGGTAGGTTCAGTTTGTTAAATTTCTCTTTCACATTGATACAGCATTCAGGACTATCAATTTGCCCCTGAGCTTCAGCCAAGTCACATCATTTTTTTTTTATATGTAGTATCTTTTGTCATTTTCATTGCCATTATTTTTTTAAAAATTGCTCTTCAACCAAGTCATTATTTAAAAGGTAAAGTTTTAGTTCTGTTGTCATTTAATATTTGTTTTGCTGCATTATGATTTGCAAATGTACATCTCTGCTTACACACACACACACACACACACACACACTCTCTCTCTCTCTCTCTCTCTCTCTCTCTCTCTCTCTCTCTCTCTCTATTTCCTGTCAAAGGCGCCACGATCCTTCTAGGGTCTCAGATTTGTATTCAACATTATCCAGTATTCCTTGTTGTTTCTCTCACCTCACACATTTCATTCAGTTGCTAAATCTGCCTGTCACTCACACCTACCACCATAATTCAAGCCCCTTCACCTGCCTAGATGAGTGCCATAACCTAATTGTTCCCTCTACCTAAAGTCTTTTTACTCTGGGCCTTCCATCGCACAAATTGCTACCAAAGTATTTTTCCTTAAGTGAAGATCTGACTACGTCACTCCAGTAACATCCTATTGCTTGTAGCATCAAGTATAAACACTTTTATTTAGTTTTTAAAGCCCTGCACAACCTGGCCCCAACCTCTTTCCCATCCTATATTCTTCAATCTAGCCAAAACTGACCTTTTCTCTGTTTCTTATATTCTCTATGCTGGCCAGTTCCTCGCTCCCTCCTTACCCTCCCCTCACAGAGTTCCTCTTTTCTTTTAAGATGTAGTTAAGGCACCACTTTAGAGCCTTTCCTGCCCCCCAACCATCTACCCTTTATTCCCAAACTACCTTATATTTAACTACTTATTTTTTGTATTTATTAACTTTATATTTATGCCACATGTTTTTATGTATTTGTTGTCTCTCCTGTTAAGAATATAAGTTCATTATGAACAGGAATTGTTTCTCTTCCCTGTGGCTAGCACAATGCCTGGCACATAATAGGTATTTAATATTTGTTGACTGACTGAACGACTGTGGTTCACAATGTATCAATTTATGTATAATTTTTGTATTTTATGATATAGACAATTTTGAACCACTGAAGATATTTGAGAGGGAAGTGACATGGTCATAACTCTTCCTTAGGAAAAATATTTTGGTACCTATGTGAAGGATGGATTAGAGAAGGGAGAGGTGAAAGCAGGGAGACCAATCTTAATTGGTGATGAAGTAGTGATGAAGTCCCTAGAGTGGTGGCTGTGTGAGATGTGGAGATCACTGAATTAGTCAGGAAGGAATCAAAGATGCTTCTGAGGTTACAAACCCAGGCAACTGGAAATAATGGTAATGCCCTCAACATAAGTTGAGATATTGGAAGATGGGCTGGAAATCAAAGGATAAAATTCATAGTCATAAAGAATTGAGATCATATATCTAAGACTAGAAGAAAATTCAGAGGCCATGTAGACTAACTCTTTCATCTTACAGATAATGAAATTGAAGCCCTTGCCCAAGGTCACATAGTATTAAATATCTGATGTGGGATTTGAACCTAAGTCCTCTGTCTTGCCTTTGTTTTTCATTCCAAACTTGTCCTATGCATTAAAAAAAAATTCTTCAGTATATGTGGCAGCATTTTGGAGTAGCAAATAACTCTTATCTTTTGATGGGGGGGGAAGTTTCAAAGGCCCTCTTTTTTTTTTGTCATCACTAAAGCTGCCCTTTCATCTTTTCCAAAAATAAAAGGGGGAGGGGTCTTTGTAACAAATAAGCATAGTCAAGCAAAACAACTACATGCAGTGGCATGTCCAAAAAATTTCTCCTTTGTACCTTAAGTCCATCACCTCTCACAAAATGCTTTATCATAGGTTGGTTGCTTTGATCAGAATTCTTAAGTCTTTCAAAGTTGTGTTTCTTTACAATGTTGTCATTGTATAAATTGTTCTGATTCTGCTCACTTTATCCTGCATAAGTTCTTATTTCCCACATTTCTGTGTCCCTTTAGTAATTTTCCATTGTGCAGTAACATTCCAATAAATTAATTAGTTCAGTTACTTCCCATTTGGCACCTCTAGTTTACAGTTCTTTGCTTTCCCTCTTTTTAATTTTCACCTCCAGGATCAGGAAGTCTGCTTTGAGACTATTCCCTCCCCAGTATTTTTGCCTCTCCTTATCTCTATTTTCCTTTTGACTTTGATATATTTCTACACCAAACTCTGTGTGTATGTGTGTGTGTGTTCAGTCCTTCTTTGTCTGGCTAAGAGGTTCCTCTGATGCCTGCTTCTTCCACCTCTTCCTTAATGTTTGCATGTTTTTCATACACCCGAATTAGGAGAAATAGTAAGTTCCACTCCATTCTTCCTCCTTTGTATAGTTATTGTTCATTTGTGTCCAACTCTTTGTGACCCGATTTGGGGTTTTTGTGGCAAAGATACTGGAGTGGTTTGTCATTTCCTTTTCCAGCTCATTTTACAGATGAGAAAAATGAGGCAAACAAGGTAAAGTGACTTGCCCCAGATCACACAGCTAGTAAGTGTCTGAGGGCAGATTTGAATATCCACTGTGCCATCTAACGGCCCCCTTTGTATACTAGTATATATCTTTTGCCCTGCCTTCTTTTCCCTCTTAAAAGTCTCAGAACAAAATCAATCCACACTTTGGTGTTCTGTTTTTCTTTTTTTTTTCTCTCAATTTTATTTTTTTTAGGCAGTTAGGGTTAAGTGACTTGCCCAGGGTCACACAGCTAGTAAGTGTGAAGTGTTTGGTCTGAGGCCAGATTTGAACTCCTGACTTCAGGGTGGTGCTTTATCCACTGAGTCACCTAGCCACTCTGTGTTCTGTTTTTCTTAACTCAATACTTTCTGAAGAAATTAGGTTCTAAAGGGACACATTTCTTCTCTCACTCTTAGAATGTTAGCAATCCATTGTAATTCAGTCCTTCCTTTTATCAGTAATTCTTGAAAATTCTCCATCCCCTTTTTTCCTCTCCCCAGCACCTGTAAGATTATGTTCTGCTTTGTAGATTAACATATTCTCAGTTGTAAACTATCTTTTGCCTTTTGGAGTACTATATTCCAAGATCTTTTATTGTTTATGGAAGAAACTGCCAGGTCTTGTATAATCCTGACTGGTTCCTTGGTACTGAAGTCTTTCTTTCTAGTTGCTTCCAGTATTTTTTCTTAGTCTTGGAAGCTCTGTATTTTGGTAATGACATTCCTGGGACTTTTCCTTTTGGAGTTTCTTTTAGATGGATTCTTTGTAGTTTAATATTGCTCTCTGATTCTAAGAAATATGGGCAGTTTTTACTCATGATTTCATGACATGTAGTGTCCATATTTTTTAAATTGTGCTTTTCAGGGAGCTTAATGATTTTTTTAAAATCTTTTTTTTTATATGAAAATGTATTTCATGCAAAACACAAAACTAGAAAAGATTAACAAATGTAGAGGAATTTAAATTAAGCAAGGTGTTCTGCTACATCAGTACAGACCTTTCAACTTACACCCTGTAATGTGTATTTCAGAGGAGTGGTGTGTTTATAAAAAAAAAACCTGTGGTATTAACTTCACACCCTGTTTGAATTTTATGCATTGGTATTTCCATATGTACAAATGACTTACAAAAATTTTTGCATGGATAGCATAAATATGCTGTTCTTAAGAAGGTCCTGGATCTGAGATGGTTTTTAGCAAGGTCAGGTAAGATTGCCAATTAGTGCCAATTAGCCAATCTGACTTGCCAGTTAGTGAGGTAGTAGACATTTCCCCAGGTACGTATGGCAAAAAGTGTTCCATATACTCTCTTGTGGCCAAGTCATTGTGACAAGGCCCTTCCCTGATTCCTTGTGAGATGAGAGTCTTCAAGTAGGGAAACTTCCAGTTGTGACAAGCTGCATGCCAGAAACACAGAATCTGTAGTAGTGCTGGTAACCAGTTCATCTTCTAAAAGAGCATCAACTTGTCTCTTCAAACTGTAAAGTGCCTTCTGTTTGTTGCTTGCCTTTCATTAAGGGCTCTGCTTGCTTGGACATAGAACATTGAAGCTGGGTCTTGAGTCTGTCTTCGTGGTGAAGCTCATTGCTTCTCCACGCCAGTGCTCCTCTTATGATTTGAACTTTGAATAAAGTTAGCTTCTCTTCAAAAGAATGTAGCCGTTCTTTGTTGGTGGAAAATAAAGTTCTCTTTCAAACTTTCCAATTCATTCTCTGGGGTTTCTGTTTTTTCAAAAATAGATTCTTTAAAAAAAAATGGATTCTAGATCTTCTAGCAACTCTGGAAGAGACTGGTTGAAGTTCTTAAGGCCAGTTCTAAGTTCACTGTTGACTTCTAATTTTAATGCTTCATTGTT